TGACAATTAAACCATATTTGTATTCTGTATGAATAAATTTATAGCGACTTATCATATCATTTAGATCAAAACTTGAAGAAAATGAAAATTTTACTATATGACGATATGTTGTCCTATGATTAATGGCAGTATAACTCAATAGTATGAGTCATCAATATTTTTTTCTTTTATACCATTTTGTAGCGCAAACATTTCTGCATCTGAAACACCAAATTTTTTTTTCGTATGATCAATTTTAGGTCCGAAATAATTTGAGAAAGAAAGTAGGGTATGTTTAAAAAAATATGTTTTTTTGGGTGATTGGATTAATTAGAAAAATAGTTAATTGTTTCCAATAAATGTCATCTTATTTTACATGTATAGATAGAGGACAATGAGATGAACAATCTTTCCTTGAGAAGTACTTGTCAAATTTGTACTGCAGAAGTGATAGAAGTTTCAAAAGTGGTCTCCAGCTAAAATAGCTGGAGTGATCCGAATTACCCCAACAAGTTTTGCTTAGGTGATCCGAATTACCCTGAAACCATTTTCTCCTTAAAAGAGCTGGTTAATAGAGGTGTCAGTGTTGTAAATACTACATTACAACAGTTCGTTCATTCATTGAAATATTTTCAGGTCCCATAGAAGACACCTTGGGCTATCCAACGATATCATTTTTTTCCATATACTAATGGATAAAAAATGAGTTATGAGATGGGAAAATTTATTCTATACATTTTTGCTGGAGTGATCCGAATTACCCCAAGTAGATTGGCTTACTGATCCGAATTACCCCATTTGGGGTAATTCGGATCAGCACTTGTAGTCTTTTGCCATTTTAACTATAACTTTTTTCCAATACAAGGTTTTTAAAAAATTCTTTCAGCATTAGAAAGAAAACAGTTTGTTCTAGCAGCACTCCAAAAATCACCTTGTTACGACGTACAATGATTGAGAGCGAATAAAAGCAAAATCGATTTTCTAATTTTTGATCCGAATTACCCCTAACGAGTGTATAGGTGTGTAGCAGAACAGAAACGAAAAAAGAGAAAATATTATATATATCTGATTCATCCTATAACAGAATGTATCATCGAAACAATCCACACGTAATGGGTCACAAAAGTGATCAATACGCAATGCATCACCGAAATCATCAACATACGATTCAGTAGCGGAACCATCATCATCAATATCTTCTCCCCACATAGCGAATATTGTCACTGAGCCCAACTTAACATTAATCAATATGGTTCCAACTTCATTTAATCGTCATAAAGAGCTCGATAATGATGAGGATTATATTATCTATCCAGAAGGTATTATTGACTTTCGTCCATATAGAACTGTGGCTCGTTATCGAAAAGCCATGGGTGCATCGACCAATTTTAGTCTGAAACCATTTCCAGTTAGTGAAGATTCGACAGAAACACTTCTGCTAGGACTCGAAGACTTGGCTCACCAACATGCTTGTAGCTTGACTTTTACAGGTGAAAATCAATCGTTCGAAAAGAGTACCTATCGCGCAGTGACTGGTCTCATTGATTTAGGCAGTATTCATCTTATGGTCACTGATTCTTTGCTAACGGTTAACTTTCAATTCGATATTGATCTTGACTTTGATCAAGAGATTGTTCAATCTAAAGACACTAGAAAAATATGTTCAAGACTTTTGTCAAACCATTTGCAAAGTGCTTTCCTGTGATAATGTTAATGTTCGTATATTTTCTATTAATAAATTAGCTGACAAAGAGGGAAAAGTCAAGTAAATTTTGGTTTGACTTCATCTGAACCAAAACTAACTGAATAATTGGCTGATGATTTGAAGGTATAAAGCTGCAATTTTATTTTACTAATACATCGGTTCGACAAATTTTGTTTTTAGAAATCATATTCACTTCAGTTGACTAATCAGTGAAGAACTTAGATAAGTCACCACTGAAAAAAATAAGATATATATATATATATATAGTTTCTTTCTCATGGATTGTATGAAGGAAATGGGTAGTCTTTCAGAAAGCGTTTCGTTATTTAATTTTCTGCTTAGAATAAGGAAACTATGCCATCCTCATCTGCATCTCATCTTGACAGTATGCATGTGATATACAATATTTTTATTCATATCCAACGAAAACAATAGTTTTATTTTAAATTTAATATTAGCATAATCGAGAATCAATAACTTATTGTCTTTTTTTTCAGATTTATGCTCGTTCTGGCTTTGAAACTGACACAATGCTTCAACATGTTAAGCCAGGAGAATATGACTTCTCATGAAAGTCAGTGTTTAGCTATCTACAAATACGACTCAGTGATTTAGATCCTGGATTCAACTTCGACTACAGAAAACTAGGCTTACCTGAAGAAGAAGCACGTGAAAATTATCCATATTATTCTCCACTTGGATGGTATTGCCATGAACTCAATGTTCTTGATAAGTATGATGACGACACTACTTGGATCGATTGTGTGAATGCTGAAGGAGAATAGTCTGTCGTTTTTCATAGAACGCATTCGGGTGCAGTTAGTGGCATTATATAACACGGTTTATTGCCAAGTGGTTGTCAGAATTGATGCCATGAGAGAAGACACACTTGAAGAAATTGAAGATGAAGCAAATCAACTGGGACTTATGTGACAACACATTGCGAAGGTGGATCATATACTCAATATACTGTACCATTCACTGTGACTACATTTTCGGGATAAGAGCGAGCGATTTAGTCTTGTTTTGCAATGTCAAGTACAACCTAGCAAGTTCACAACTCATACAAGTCTTGCTAGTGTAGGTGAAGCATGCCGTATTGTTGATCCCAGTGCGATACAACCATATGGAATTTTGCTTAAAAAAGTAGATTCAACTGAACAAGAAAGAGAAGATTAAACCAACAATGCGGAAGAAACTTCAGCAAAGAACTGTTCAGCATATAATAAAATAGACTCTCTTGAATTTATTGAGTTTTTCACACTTGATATATATCGGAACTCAGATATAACATTGCTCACTATTAATTAAGTAGATGTTAGAAATGAGATTAATGCCATATCCTGAAATGAACGTTGAAAACGACGAAGATATATTGAAAGTAGTCGGTATCGTATACATTCCAATATTTGTATAGACATTAGAGGAATGCAGTATAATCTCATATTCATCACTATCAATGATTGATCATGACCTTTTTACTATGGATTATCTGTAAGCACTAATGATGAGCTAGAGAAATTCTTTTCCCTTGTTTTCTTAAAAGATGATGTTGGTTGCTTTAGCAGTTATATTAGGTCGATCATTCACCGTTGATATCTCAATGTCAATTTTCATCATTTAAAAAAAAATGGTTTTTCGTGAAAAAACAATACTTTTTTCTACCTATTTTTCCCTAGCTTTGGTAACGAACTTGTTTCTTTGTTGCACATTCATAACCTTTGAGACATTCTCAGATGTCACTTCAATGGCCGTCATTAAACTGTGATGGGAAAATGTCTCTATGGATAGTTTAAAATATTATACACAAGGTGATTTTCGATAAAAGTTTGAAAAATTCTCAAAATATGAGTAGAAAGTGTAAAAAATCATCATCAAGGTGAGTTTTTTTCAAATATCAACATAATCAATTGTATATTTATCTAAAATAAGTCTTCTATTCATGGTTATCAGATGAAATTTATGTATCTGTGAATAATAAATTGAATCGATTTGGACGGAAAAAAAACGTCTATCCTGATGAAAATTGATTTTGCCAATTAAAATTTGCTTTTTTTGAATATTTACAATGAATAATAAGAATAAAAAACTAAGGTATCCCTCGTTGCAAAAAATTTGTTGCTTTTCAATTGAAACAAACATAGAATATGATCACTTATATATGATAAAAGTTTTATTAACTGATCACATGACGCATACACAATTTGATTATTACTTCGAAACAATTTTGTGATAATCAGCATAAATTATGAGAAGTTTTATATTGAATAAAATCTATTTGAAGGACAATTATACCTTTGAAACATTGTAACAATCTACTTACGAGTTGAACATTCCTGTATCATAAGTGGTACATAGAAGACGACAATGTAAGCTGTGATAGAATGTTTCTGCTAGTTTTTGGGATGTTAGAAGAAAAAAACGTACAGAAGCAAAAACAAAAACAAAAACAAACTCATGCACATCTTATTCTTTTATGACTATCAATTCGAGAACTAGACAACGGAGAAGTTGAGTAGCTGTGATATTTAGTATAGATATGCAGATTAAAATGATTTTAACATTTTAGAAAATAACTTCGTTCTTGAAAGGAGTACTATTAACAATTACTTGTCAACATTCTAACTGTCTATGCAAGAAAAATGTGTGTCGGTATGTTCTGTTCACTTCCATTTACTCCCACGCACACCCACCGACGCCTACACACCACACTCTTTCCGGAAGAATTATCCAGAAGATGCAATTTTAATACTACCAGAACCTTACAACAGTAAGAGATGGATATGACCTAATATTTTTGCTTTAGAAGAAATAGATTCGTCTTTTATGTGTTTGAAGTTGTTTTTTTTTCTTTAAGATAAGGTCTTTCCAATGATGGATTATCCAATAAATTAAGAAGACATCTAATTATTTGAAAAGAATGAATATAGTCCTAGAAACTAGTTGAAGTTCAAATTCAAAATAAACCTTAGGAAAAAATAGGGTCCAGTGAGTATATAATTTTCTAAGCAACAGTCGCAAGAGAAAATTTGAGAAACAAACTAGTGTTATATGTTGGTTTTAGATCAGGTAAACTTATGCTTTATTAATTTTTCTTCTCTTGCTTCGTATAACTTTTCGAATAATAATAAATCAAAATGAAGAATTTCTATAAATGAAATGATCGCATTGCTGTTGTTTATTTATTCATACGTATACATTTATGTCTAGGTTAATTACATGTTGATTTATGCAGTTAAAATGTGAGAAGAGATTCAGGTAACCACGGCGACGGCATGAGAGAATGCCAGAGTGATCATTCGATTTAACAATGTCAAAGGTGCAATAAATAGTAAGTCATTCTCGTTTTATCAAATCTTTCTCTAGTAAATCGATTTCTTTGTTTAATAATACTTTAATTTGAATTTTGCTTGATTCCATTTTTTTGTGGAACTGCTGTCTTTAAAACAATCGAATAGTAAAACGACTAGAACTTTATTTCAAGAATTTAAATAAACAATAAAAAAAGAAAATCTGTTTCATCGAACATTACAAATTTTCTTCCTTAAAAAGCATATTAACATAAAGATACAACTCCATGTTTTCCTAGGAGCACATGATCTTCCAATCATCTAAAACAAGATTGATCTGGATTTTTGCAAATATCTTTGCTATTGTCAAACATTATATTAATAACGTATCTACTCAAGGTATAACAGTCGATTTGATTCAATATGTATTTATAAAATATGAATTAGAACGTTAATAAACTAATTACTTGCTCAAGCTTGAAGTTTTTTCTTTTTTCAAATTATTCAAATCTTATATTTTTTATGTCTTAATATAATCATCGATGGTTTTCTAATAATTAGTCATTTTCTCGAAAAAGTTTCGTAATTAAAAGAAATATTTCGAAACGAGAGCTACATAAAAGTAGATGTTGTAGTATGTTGTAATATGGATTGTTGTGAACCTCATTTAATACGGAACCGTGTGTTGATACAGATCAACTATCGTTTTTACTATTCAATTAAAATTAGTGAATTGAGATATAAAATAAACTAATTAGTTGAGAATAATTGTTTCGGATTTATTTTGAGATTCGATGGGTGAAAATCCTAATCCAATGTGTGAAGAAGCTTATGAAAGTACTACTGAAGTTGGAAGTTATGGTAGCAACATGGGCGGTGGTTTTCTTCTTCATACGATGACGAACATCAGTATCATCATCATCACCGTGATGGTTAATTATCAAGTTACTTGAATAAAACGATCATTTACATGAATATAAACTCGATGTCTGTTTGTAAATATATAATTGTATTAACAAAATATTTTAATTAATAAACTAGCTATAATATCACTATGCTTTTCAGTTTCTCACCGAGCAGTTTTTTATCCTCCTGTATGAAAGCATAACTTGATTATGAATAAAGACAATAATAGAAAATTAATTATTCATGAAATTAATTTTGAAAACATATGATTTATAGTTACAATCATGATTCCAACAAAAGACATATTTCAACATTAGGAAAAATAATAATGAACTATTCTAAAGTTCTACTAATAAACTTGAGAGAAGCAGATTATATCTTTCGACTGGGATCTATTTTAAACTAAATAGTTAAATTAAAACTTCATCTTGAGAACCAGGTCGAGTAATGTCCAACAAACTTTCAAAGACTAAACTTGAAGATGTAAGCGTGAATCCATGTAGTTTTATATCATATATTTGTTCTAAGTGTTATTTTTTTAGGCATAATATTAAAAAGTTCATGCAAGAAAAGCTGCATTTATTTTAAATAAAAACAACAGAAAAGTTTAAAAGAGCGTTGTAACGACAAAGAATTATAAGGAAGTACAGACGTGCGCTTTTTCTTGTCTGCCAAGAACTATTAACCAAGATGAAAGGAAATGGTCTTTTCTTTATGCTTCATAAAATAATGACTCAATTTTTATCATTGATCATGCAAATAGGTGATAGTTGTTGGCCATATCGGTAAAAACAACCATTCCCAAGTTCATTTTGAGGAGTATTGACGACATACAAGATTGAATCAGCACCCAATTCTGCAGAATGAGCACCAGGCGCATTCTTATTCATATCAGTAGCACAAAATCCTGGACACACAGAAAGAACGAGTACATTTTTGGCTCTAGACCATTGACGAGCTTCGATTCGAGTGAGAGCAATAACTGCTGCCTTTGTAACACTGTAAATTAAGTAAGATGACTTGGGATTGTATCCTAATTCTTCGAAACTATTTGTTCCAATGGCTGAAATAAAATCTTCAACAAGACGATCGAGCTGTTCAGTAGTCAATGTTGATGATAAGTATTTTTCTTGAAGGTCTTTCGAGGCTTCAGACAATAGAATAGAACCACACATACTGACCACATTGATCACGCGACCATTCTCTCGTATAAGAGGAAATAAATGTTCATTTAGTGTTTTGATACCATAATAATTTGTAGCGAACATTGATCGAGCTACGTCGACAGTTAGTTGTAGTTCTCCAATAGCAGCATTGTTGATGACAACATCCAGTTGACCATCATACTTGTATTTAATTTGATTGGTAGCATGAGTGATGCTTTCTTGTAATGAGACATCCAAATGAAGGAGATGAACATTCGGAGGAGAACCTAATCGAATCAGTGCATTTTCACCTCGTTTCAAATCACGACAGCCAAGAAGAATAAGATTGTTTATGAGTGATGATTCATTTGCGAGCTTCTTCACAACTTCAAAGCCAATGCCTTTGTTTGCTCCAGTGACAAGAATCACACGTTGTTGACTTGTTGATAACATGTTGTGAAAAGAAAGAATGATAACGACGAAATAACGAAGAATATTTTGTGTCATCATGAACAAGTTGAGATAAGCAATATGGAAACAGTCGTGATAAACCATATTTACATATTGCATATAAAATTTGATTCTAGTCAAATGTAGTCGTTTAGTCAATGTCATCTTATTCGTTTTGCAGCATTAACATGTTCTAATGAGAAATATTTTTTCGTCAGTGAATAAAATTGTCGTCAATCGACAAGATAAAAAAGCGAAGTGATCGTTTACCAAAATGATCACCATGTTCATAGCGTTGAAAACTCGTCACAAAGAGTCTCGTTCATTTTGAAAACAAAATAAAATGCAATTATAAAATAAGTTGTCCTTTATAAATTGTAGAGCTGTTCACGCTACATGTCGTGATATGTTTTATTATTTTTAATGAACGGTTTTAGGGTGATTCAAAATTGAAACACTAAACGCGGCCATTTATCTTGTCCTACCCGTTAATTATTGTTAACATTAAAACTTTTCCTAATATACAAAAATACAAAATCGTAATTACCTTCCAAAATTAATAAGATTAAGAAGAAACAAATTTCGAAAAAACCTGATTATGATTGTTTTTAGTCAACTATTAAAAGTTTTTTTTTCTTTTAGTAATTTTGGTCCAATAAGTATATTATTTTGGTTATGGTACAGTGCAAGAATTTTCACTCGTGATGATCAGTTAGATTTGGACTTACTAGATCACAATAAAAAATAACCTAGTATCAGATCGAGAAAATAGGATAATTATCGAGTAATTGGAATGCATTCTGATTTAAAATAATTATTAACACCTTTATGTAGATGAGATTTGACATTAACACGATGAAAGCTAACAGCATATGTTGTGAACCTTGGTCATCATTGTTCAGTGTGTTGAAAAAAAGATTGTAAACCATTACAAATGTCATGAAAGTGATCAACAGATTATCCTCATTTCACATGACAAATATGCACGAAGCCAACTATTTCAAATATAATACAGAATAATGTTCTTAAAACGAAGACTCTTTCAATCGTGATCTTATAGGCAGATTATCCAAGTCTCATGTCCAAGTGTCGTTCTTTGACTTATGCTCAATTTTATTTATTATAAAAAAGATCACTCGTCAGTGATCATCGCCAAAATAACATATTCGCAATGCTCTTTGTGTGAGTTTCGCTAAATCTCGTTTATCTATTTTGACACGTTCAACGTCATCTAGCAAGTTGATTAGACAAATATGCGTCATTTTTTTCTTAAATGTATATATCGACAAAGAGTTCATTCAATAGTCTTGCTACTAATATCAGTTCCCATTTCTACATCGTCATCTTCAGATGCATATCATTAAGAATAAGACAAGGAACTTCTTTAGTATTTTTAGATGACACCACGCTTATAAATCAAATAAAGTACGACTCATGCTCAGTTTCTTCCCAATCTTAACGAAACCATTTTGACCATTTCATCAAAACTAAATTGTAAGATAGAGCTTGATCGCTGTCAACAGAATATTGGTCATAATGAAATGATTTTCTTATTATACTAAATGTACTATTACTTTGAATATGTGAACGATAATCTATCTTATCCAACCAGGAAAAAAAAGAGTTCTATAGCTTATATTTGATTTTATTATATAAAATATCCGTTAAATAATGATTATGCCATGCACAAATATGGAGAACTCTTAGTACTACAAATATATATGAATATGAACTCTTTATCAAGTTTTCTTAATTTTTGTATAAGAATAAATTTCACCAATATTAATGTATCGTCAGTATATTATGATAAAATAAGAATAAAATAGAACAGGATCGGTGCTATAATATATAATGTATAAAAAAATGGATAACAAGATAAGCTGCCATTTGTTGAATTTGATCTATTATCTGTCAGTGTTGCTATCATATTCATAATAGAGGAAGTTGCCATCGTAGTGGTAGTAACAATGTCAACCGTTATTGCACCAGTCACATTCATTGAGCGAATCCAGTCTAAATAGTAAGCAACACGAGTATAAACACCAGGCAAATATGCGCGTGCACATCCATATCCATATGATGTAATACCAACTACAACCCATTGTTGACTTGAAGTGAACATCATTAGAGGACCACCAGAGTCACCATTACATGTATCTGTAATCATAAAATATAATCTGATTAGTATCGAAAACTGTTGAATAATATTTATTTACCTTTACCACCGTTAAGATCACCTGCACAAAACTGCATTGTTTCATTGTTAATGAGTAGATAACATGCAAAACTGTCATATTGAATGCGTTTAAGTGTCACTTGTTGAAGCGTGTCAGATATAGTACCATTCTCCTGCAATTCTCCCCATCCAATTGCAACAAGCTTGATATTGAAAAGAATATAAATGATGGTAAATATATTTTATATGGTAACACGAGTGTTGCATCCCAAACATGTGCTCTCATGAACTTATTTCTCGGATAGTTGCGCTCCTGTAGTGAATATTAGGTTAGCCGCTAAGGATAACGTTAAGATGTGTGGTACGGATATAAATATTTTAAGGATGGTCGAGTGCGTAAGACGGTAGAGAAGACTCTCACTATTATACCCACACTCTTCGAAAATGATTCGTGAATTTCTTCGTGATTTTTGACATTTTAAAAACCATTTTGAGCTTGTCAATGAAAAAGAAATTATTCGAAGGTAAATCATGTTGAAGAGCACAACTGTCATATGGACAATCTTTCGGGATGTAACTATCGTGAATTCGATTTGTTTATAAAGAAAAAAGTTTACATACTGTTGAGTTAATTGGTGGGTAATCTTCTGTTGTTGAGATTGGTAAACATATTTTTGAAATACTTTCATCTGTCATATTGAATGATGGTGAGACTTGAATCAAGGCAATATCGTTTTGTAATAAAGTATCATTATACTGTGGATGCAAAATAACAGAAGATCCCTGTCGCCATTGTTTCATACCCAGCAACTGATCTGTTGCAGCAGATATTATTACTTGCGAAGGATTTATATTTTCAACACAGTGTGCTGCTGTCAGAATCCAAGAGTTTGATAAAATTGTACCACCACACAACCATTCTTCGTTAATGAGAAGAGACACAACCCAACCCCATGTATTTATAGGAGCCGTTTCTCCCCCGACAATCTTTGTAACTGAGGCAGAATTTTTCGAACAGCCACATACTGTATTTGAATTACACACATATGTTATTTGAGCACTGGGTTGAATACAAGCCAAAAGTGAGAAAAAAAAATGTAGAAACAACATTTGTTTAAATAGAACCAAAACAAATGACAGTTGCTTAGATGTTATTGAAGTGTTCCATTTTTCTTTTTCATTTCTATTATGAAATTGCTTATGAATGCATTAAATTATTTGGAATAGAACAAGGTAAAGTCATTAAACTAGAAAAACATGGTTTTTCTTTTTCTTAGTCCTTATATTTTATTGAGTTTTTAATCTATTTTTTTCTGCATAACATCTCTTAGCATACCTGTATCCATTCAGAGAACTCGATATTACCGAATAGAAATTCGTCAATCACATGCAAAACTGTTCTGATATCATTAAAGAAAAAACAAACTAGAATATGTCTAATTGTTTTTAGATTAAACTCATTTTTTTCTCAGATAGACTTAACATCTGATAGAAAGCGATATCATAAGACTAAGTTTATATAAATAATAAAATGGGTGAAAGTGGATGAGAAATTTTTTACATAATAATAATTTTACCTTTCAACTTTTCATCCGACTAATTGCCAATTACAATATTGAGAAATTAGCAACAAAGTTTTTTTTTTTCTGTAATGGTCGTTTTTCTTCTTTCCATTATAATCATTAACAAATTGAAAAGGCATCTAATTAATGAAAATTTAGAAAGAAACGCTTGCTATAGGGTAATGTTTATAAAATGATTTTTTTTTATTATTTCAACATGCGAGAAAACCGAGAATCACATCTGAAAAAATCTTCTAATTGAAAAGATAGATTTTTTTTTCATTTCTAAATAACATACAATACCTACGCGATAAAATAATTTCTTATGTGTTAATTAACATCCAATTAACGCATTGCAGTTATTGAGAGCAGTTTTTTGAATTTTTCTGTCAACTATGAATAAAAAATGAATAAGTAAAATGACAATTTCTGCGTAAAAAGCCAAAAAAGAGTAATGCATCAAGTTTGTTGATCGACTGATTATCATATGCAATCATAATGGTAGACAGACAGAGATATAAAAGGAGATGTTAACTAGCATTTTCATTTCCATAGACAATTTGTCTTTGTCACAGATGATCCTCTGTTTTGTCACCGTGATTATTTTCATACTGGATCATATTTTATGTATTCGAGACAACAAAAAGTTTCTAACGTCCAGAAAAAACATGGTATGATGAATAAGGAAGTTCCATAGTGGAAATAGTTCGCTTTTCTTAATTATTAAGATCGAATTTATTTTCCATTTTGTTTATCTTTATTCTTCTTGAAAATGAATGAAATAAATACATTTTCGAATGGTGTAAAAATATTTTCTATCAAACAAATAGATGAAAGTTTAGTCAAAAGATTAGAAGAAAAAACAACGTTAAAAAAATTACCATATTGAAATTAACTTTAAAATAGCATCAATATCAGTGTGTGCGTGTGCATGGATGTCGGTGTGAGTGGGTGTAGATCTGTGGGATGTGGATAAGAATGAAAGGGTGACTTTTCCCTCACATTCATATCCACGTCCGTCTGTTCACCTACATCATCAGCTGCACTCAGAGTCATTAGTGGATATGAATATAAGTGGATGTAGGGTCTAGGACGTGGGAGAAAATGAAAAGTCTACGTTTACCATTACAACTTCATCCGGCTCCCATCACCCACAGCTTACACTAGCACTCACATCTTCAGGATAAAAGTAATGTGCCACAGCGTCAGTTGAAATCTAATCTGAAAGATTTTCTCATCTTCCTGGGACCTTGGAAAATACCAAGATAGTCTCTTTAATTGAACATAATTAGAACGAAACATTTCGATAGCTTAAAAACGGATTGTTGTTAATAGGATTGGCTTAATAATTCTATTGACCTTGAAATTCTCCATCGGGTTAAACTCATTTAGGATTCAATCAATACCATGGGCTAACTGTCAAGTTCTTCACATCAATCAATCTCTGTCTATGCATTCAAAAGAAATGATGAAGATGAAAAACAACATATGTCACCTGTTTGTTTTTAGTTCTCTTTAAAAAATCTTGAAGAGAGTGTGATTGCAAGAATCATAGAAAAGAAAAACGAAGTAACAACAAAACACTGTCTGACATGTCATAGAAAAATCTAATACCAACATTTATTTCTTCCACGTTCAACAAAGGCGAAGATAAAATTTAAATCTCAAAGATCGAAATTCAATTTTCTATGTTCCTTGTTCTCATAAGAATGTTCACTTGTGTCTACACAATTTCGTAAACCATTTTCAGACGTGAACTCAGACAAATTAGGCACAATGTCACTTCCATTTCCACCTTGGCTGACATAGAATTATAGGAGTACATATTGCTGTATAGGGCATGACAATAGTATCTCGTAAGAAACACACTGAAAGCCTTTTTCAGTTCGAATTGGTACGAAAAATCAGTTTTAACAGAACACTCAATTTGAACTTTTTCTTTTTTAAAAAGACAAACAGGAACTCATTGCGTACCTGAAATAAGACGTTCTTGAACGGTGAAGAGCGGGAAAGGTTCGTATTATCAGAAACCATTTTTCTGAATGCAGAGTTCACTCGTTAGAAAAATCTAATAAATAAATAGACGAAATTAATAATAAAGACAATCATTCGAAAACACTTCAAGCTTCTCGTTGCTTCCATAGGGAATGATCGAGAAATTTCTTGGATTCTTTTCGTCGACGTTCTTTCTTTCAACATAGAATCCATACATTGCTTTAAAAATCTTCGAATAAAAAGATATGTTTTGAAGAAGAAAAAAGAAATCATATTTTATTTATTATTATAATTCAATCAAACTCTTTGTTGCAAAATGTTTTACTTTGAACATGATATAGAAATAGAGCAAGTTAGAAAAAGGCTTTGATACAAAGAAAAACGGATCAAAAAGAAATGTCTACATTGTTACTGCGTTGATCGAGATGAGCCATAAGACGACTAATATCGACTTGTATTGAGTGATGGTGGTACGTCGAAGTCAAATCTATTCGGATCTGATTCCGGTGGACGATAAATACCACGGAGCTTCATAATCAAGAGGAAAAAAATAGAAACAAAACATAGATTTTATAACATACTTCATGATAAAAATAAGGTTGAGTTATATGAATATCGGGTGTTCGATAATTTAGAGTCTTTCCATCACCATAATCTTGATACGTAGTTCGATATGGTTGAAATGGTCCAGAAGATTCCCACCAATCTAAATGTTTCAATTTATTTTTATTGCAACAAGGTAAAGAAGAAACAAGCTTTTTACTTTATTTTAATGCATCTTACATTTATTTCTTTGATTATTCGAATATTGACCATTGATATTAGTAGTAGTTCGAGGTGTTGATAATTGTTCTGGATAGATATAATGTGTAACTACGGGCCGAGAAACACTCGTTAGTTGATTAAAATCTTGATTATTTCTTCCACTTTCAATAGATCGATTTGTTTGATTACCTGGATAATATTGGTTATTCATTTGAATAGAATCCGCACAACAAATTATTCAAATTAGTATTATTGAAAAGATTCACTAGAAGACGAAATGTACTATGCAAAAGCAAAAACTCAGTTGAAAATAAGCAATAATTTTATATTTCTATAACCGAACTGCGTTGTATTGTTCTTTTATAGCTGTTACTCCGAAAAAATTGGATTAAAATGTTCTTTTCTCGCTCACCAAATGCGTTGCATTAAAATGAGAGAGTAGAGTGACAAAAAAATGAAACTTCTTGTTTTTTTTTTTTCAAACGAAAGATGAAAAAACAATTAAACGGTCGTCAAATCAACGAAGTATATCGAATCGTCTCGAACAATTATCCCAACACGACATAATTCATTAGATGTTGTAAATTAGAGGAAAAGTTTAGAACACTCTTCGCCAAGAATAATCAACGGAAGAAATTTAAATAATGATTTTGATAGTCTCCTAATTATTTTATAAACTTGAGATGCAAGTAATTTTTAAGAAGAATTATTATTAGCGTCAGAAATTAAGACATTACAATTTTTTTTTTGAATAACTTTCGATAGGAACACGATGAAAATCTGCGATTTTTATCTTTCTATAATCAAAACCTAGTCGTATATATTCATAAGCAAAATCCTTTTTGAGAAAAGTCCGGAGCACAGTTTTTCATAGGATCCTCGGAAAACTGCTATAGGAGTCTATAGCTTTTTTGCATGGGTGGATCTTCCAGAGTCTTCTATAAAGTTATATCTATACAAATGTTTTATCTTGCAAAATGTAGATGAATCAGACAGTTTTTCTGAAATCCTAGTGTTACACTCTTTTTGGATGTGGCATTATCAAAGGCACATGAAAATATAGGTTATCCACTGTGCTGAACGTTGTGACAATATTTATTTTATCTTTCGAATAATATTTTTATTGATTATACAATCACATTATTAATGTGAGGTTTTTCGTTTAAAAAAATGGGTTATTTTCATCGATACCTCTTAATAACGTTACTGATCGCGTCGAAGCAATACTTAGTATTTCGCGAACATAGTCTATCGATTGAAACATGAAATGAAAGATAGAAAGGAAAACCAAGAAGAATTCGTGAGATTTACTCGTTCGTCTTGTACTTCATTATTACCAACAGTTTTGTCAACAGTCAGCTATTCTGCTCGCCCGAATATACAATTAACAAATTCTGAACAAAATACGATTATATATTTACGTATCACCTCTTATAAAAGAAAAATAAATGCATCCCATCATTGAAAATATATCGCCAAGTCTGTTAAATTAATATCCTAAATTTTCTACACAGTCGAAAACATCATTATGCCAAGAAATAAAAGCACTGGATTTCAAGTATAGAGAAACAAAAAAAAAAGAAAGGTTTCATAGATTCAATGGTCTGTTCAGCTCAATGTGCCGTTTATTTTAGAAAATTGACCGAGTACAATCAAGTAATTCTATGTTGTACTATTGCGACGAGACTCGTTTAAATATAAATGNAGTAGGCTTAGTCTAATTTGAATATTTTCTCTCAAATCATAGGACAGACAACATTGACAAGTAGGCTAGTAGAGAGAAAGTTTAATTTTGAAAACAGAACTATTGACAGTTTTAAATAGCTTTCAAAAACACGCATATAAAAAAGGAAAGAAATATGATCAGTAATAAAATACAGTATTCCGTATACCAATCATGTCACAAAAGCCTTGCACTCCAATGGACTTCTTCTCAAAAAAACTAGTTGATTTCAGTTTAACATGGAGAAGAAAAAAAGCATTTCTATATCGTAAATCTACCGAAAAATTTACCGTTTCGTATATCGTAAACATAAAAAATTGACAATGTCCGATAGACTTTATTTTTTTTTCAGATATTTGTAAATGTAACTTTAGTAATGGTCGAAGTGCCATCTCGTAAAATATACCCAACACTTTTAGAAAAGTTTCTTTAGCATTCCACGTTTCTAGTCGAAATTTGCTTTTAGGTATTCATATCGCATTCTAGTGATAAACTGTATGTAGTATTAAGCATGAAGTCATCGAGCTACATCAAACTATCTATGTATGCTCTGTAGCTTTTCCAGAAATGTTTAGTTCATGGGTAATATCGAATTCTATCTCATAATCTGCCTAATCAAACTTTATAAACGAATTAAGTCCAGTCGCGCTCAAAAATTTTCTAAATACTTCCACAACTAGACCTTAATCATGTTAATATTAATAAATAGTGAAATTCTCACTATGATATTGTGGAGACTTCCAACCCCTCCCCCCTCCTCCCCGGTTTCTTTTTGCCTGAGATCTGGCTTTATGCATGCATTATATGCTTGTAAGTTAAACGAAGATGATGTGTATAATCAATCTGTCGAGTTTAATCAAACTATGTATGAAATAAACTCTTTTCCTAAATGTTAATTTAGGTGTCGGGCTATAAGTCATTCTTAGGCATGTTTCGATAGATGTCAGTAAACATTAAAAAGTTAATAGCGATATAATTTACTCACAAAAACTTATGTTTTTCTGCCATATCTGTCTGCTAATGTTAAAACTTCACATCATGAAATAAATGTTGAGAATTTCTGTTCAAAACGAAATCATTAAACGATACTATTGTGAACTATCACTACTGACTTTGCTAAAGAAATATTCTATAATCAAAAAATATCACCTTGAGATCTTAAATATTCCTAGATCTAGCATTCTAGAATTTTCAGCACACATAATAATTTAGAAGTGAAGCTAGTAAGATCGTTTAGGCGTCAATCATTCTCGGTGAATCAAATTTGTAATGTATTTTAATAGGTTTATATCTATGCTGTAAAGTTCATCACGTTTTGTCAACAGAGACAAAAGTTATAGCTAAGTTACATAATGATACGTTGATCGAGTCACAAAATCATTCTTCGATTGAGTATTGGCCTTACAACGAGAAGAGCAATCATACATAATAAATTCTCTTCCACTAGATTAGTTGAGAACTCATCGATTTCTCTGATCTTGACTTTTGAAAAAGTATTCATCCTACAGATGTCGAAGTTACCTCTCTAAAAATCGTTGTAACTGAGGTGGCAGGGTAATATTCTTGATTCTAAGTATATTGTTCTATAAAAGTTAGTTATACACATTCAAAGTGGTCTCTATCAAAGATTTTCACATGAGAAATAAATATGTAGTCTCCTGTATCACGAAGAACAAAATATTTCGTATTCATTCAAACAGAGTGAAGATGCATACTTGTTTATCGTTTAGATATTTAAGAGTCCTCTGTTTAACTTTTTATGTTGTATTAGTTCTATTAAATTAACTATATTTCCGAGAAATGTTAGGTTGTTGCTAATTAAATAGACTGATCGAAACCAATGCTTTTATTTCACTTGAGTTTGATCTTGAACATGAAACAAATGAACGATTTTCAGAATTATTTTTTTACAATAAAGCTTTCAGCATAGTTCTCTATATAATGAAAATATAAAATATGATGAAGCCGCCATCATTGCATGCAACGATTCTCTATATTGATCGCAATCTGTGGTAGAATCATAGAAGCACTATGTTTGAGATGTCTGTTACAATTTGAGAAAATGAAGAAAAGGTTCATTTTTCTTGCTATCTATAGTTTAATACTCATTATAAATAATATTTCAAAAAATGTTATAGACTTTCACAAATAGATATAATAGTATCTATAGAATAAAATATGTTTCTTCTCTGTAGTACCTACATTTCCGATGGCACGTACGTTACCTTTACGTCCGCCACCTGACTATGCAAAATTACGCAAAGAAAATCCTATTTCGAAGGCTAAAATGTGGGATGGTAATCTTGTTTGGTTGGTAACTCGTCATGGTGATGTTTCAAAAGTTCTAACTGATCCACGCTTCAGCAAAGTACGCACTCATCCTGGCTTTCCTGAAACTGGACCAGGAGGCAAAGCTGCAGCACGTGCTGGTAAGCCAACATTTGTCGACATGGACCCTCCTGAGCATACACGTCATCGAGGAATGGTCGAACAAGATTTTACAAGCGAAAAAGCAGAAGAAATGCGACCCAGCATTCAAAAGATTGTTGATAAACTTCTCGATGAAATGCTTACCAAAGCACAACCAGTTGATCTACTAGCTTCATTTGCATTACCAACACCAACACTGGTTATCTACCAAATCTTAGGTGTTCCATACGAAGATCATGAATTTTTGGATAAATGCAATGCCATTCGTACAAATGGTAGTGCAACCTCTGCTGAATCTGCTCAAGCAAGCAAAGATCTTATGGATTATCTTGCACGTTTAGTAAGTTGTTATTGTCAAAACAGGATACATTCATATCACTATCAGTTTTTGAATATTCTCAAGAAAATAGTTTCAAATGTTGTAGAAAGAGTATTTTAATGTGCCACTTTTTTCGAAATCAACTTGTTCAGAACTTTTATATAACAAATCTCTTTGTTGGCACGTAATGCACATTTTTAGAACAACTAATGATCAAGAGCAATAATGTATCAAATGAAAATTACAAATTTAAATGTATTGTAGTAAAAATCATTTTGTTCTAACAGTATATTATTTTCCTCGCATTGTCGATGAGAAACAGTCTAAGTGTGACAATGGTTAGTTTAAGTTTTGTATGATGATTGAATGGCTGATCTGACACAACACTATCACTAGGTGTTCACTCGTGGTTTAGTATTTGGAATGGCTAACTTCAGAAGAAAAAGTTAGTCCAAAATCCTAAAAAACCTCTAAAAGTACCTGTCAGGATTTGCTTTTTTTTCATCGTTCTTCTGAGTACTACGCCAGCCTTGCTGAGCACGATGTTCTTATGAATATGCACACTGCTGAACACCACGAAATATTTTAACTATTCGTATAAATAACCTTTTTAAGGAAAATTTTATTACATAAACTTGTGGTTGGTTCGAAAACCTGGGTCAAAAATTCTTTGATTTAAAACTCATGTAGCCTGATTACATGACTGTCGAACAGAAATAATTGCAATTTTTCTTGCATATAATGATTTTAACGTAGTTTGAAAAGTACTATCAATTAAAACTTCAAAATATAAATTCAAAGAGCCGCAAAATGAATTTCTGAACTATGTACAAAGATGTGTTGTGAGAAAATATGGAAAACTTCCACCATAACCCTAAAAAGATTACAATGAGTACTATCATAGACTCCAAACAGTAGTAATTTGTGAGTCAATATCGCATCAGCTGTAATCTTTGATTTGGCGACAAGAATGCTACGCTACATTATACATAAGATTCACTGATATGAGTTTTTTTTTCTTTACCATTGAATATGTCATATCTTTCTTTGTCTTCATTTTTTTTGTGTTAAGGTTGACAAGAAGACACAAAATCCGACAAAGGATATTATTAGTCGTCTGGCAATTGAGCAAGTTCAAGCAGGCAAATTAACTCATGATGAATTGGTAGCAATGTCATTTCTACTTCTGGTTGCTGGCAATGCGACAACAGCAAATACGATTGCACTTGGCACACTAACACTTCTTCAACATCCGGATCAACTAGCTGAACTTCGACAAGATCCATCTCTAATAAAAAATGCTGTCGAAGAAATCCTACGTTATTTAACAGGTTCACAATTTGCAACTCGTCGCTTGGCTCTTGAAGATGTTGAAATCAGTGGTCAAATAATCAAGAAAGGTGAAGGTGTTTGGGCACTGAATGCATCGGCCGATGAGGATGAAGATGTTTTTCCAAATGCAACACGTTTTGATATTCATCGTCAACCAAATCCTCATCTTGCTTTTGGAGATGGTATTCATGTGTGCATTGCACAAGATTTAGCACGGGTTGAAGTACAAATTGCAATCAATACTCTTATTCGTCGTTTACCCAATCTTCAACTGGCTGTTCCTGCAGATGAATTACAATATGTCACTATTCCAAAACGTGATTTTGGCGTTGCTGAATTGCCTATCAAATGGTAAGAAAATCAAAAAATTTCTAAACTGTTCATATGATAACTCGTATTGATTCTGAATTAGATTTCCGTTCTATAATATTCTGTCTCATCGATGTTGTATCTTCTGTACAATCTGATGTATATAGATACATTCGATTCAATATTGAGTGCAGGCAAAACGTTGTTTCGAACTGTTTTTACTGAAATTGAGAGAGGCACTGTTATTAAAATTATAATGTAACTACTGAAGTTTCTCAATTGAAAGAAGTAACCAAATATTAATGAACAAGTCGTAAAACTCCTAGAACAACATACCATATAAATGGTAGAATAAGTTATGTTTATCTCTCATTGTTTATTTAAAGTTTTCTTTCGAAAACAAAACATGAATTTCACGAAACTCACTTTAAAAAACTTTCAGAGCAGTATCTACGAGATTAAAATATGAAATACAATAGGGACACATTAGTTGTGAATGAAGACTATTGATACTAGCCACAATTCGTGACAAAGTCGATAAAAGCAGCACGCCAAAATGCCTGTTACGTGTTCAAGGGTTAGCTTGCTATGACGGGTTGGCTATATTGCTCAATATGAATCCACATGATACTTCGCTCAAACTTCATTATTACCAGTCATGGAATGACATGGGAAAAGTCACTTCTAGTTGTTTGTCATGGATCACTCATCCGATAAAATGCTGACTACGTTGTAACAAACACTTGCTCTTTTGGCTAGTATGCGATTAGTTAGTGTGCTTAGGAAATATTAGGATATTATATGTATATGTCGCTAGATAACACCCTGTATCGCAAGTTAGTTGAAAGGTGGGGGTATTTTTCCTTTCTTCTGTCTTCTCCAATTTCATGGAATAGGCTGAGTATTCACTTTTCTTGCCATTTATTTCACTATACATTAACAATTGGTGTTTCACGTTAAGAAAGCATTTTTTCAAAAATATTATTTGCTGATGATTATATTATCTAAAATTGATCGATCGATCCAGAAAAAGTAAACTAATTTGAAATGATCCGTTTACAAAAATTATTAAATAGCATATTTAAGATAAATATTTTATTTTCAATTTTGTTTCTCTTAGGTAATATAATGTGTCAATAGCAGGCGAATTCAATCTCAACCATAAAGACATTTGACGAATACAAAAATAAGCATTTTATCTTTCTCATTTATTTAATGTTTTCGTATTGAAAGTAGTTTTTCTTCATATTTCTCATAATAAACATATATATTAGCTAGATCAATACTTGATTGATTCAAGAACAAAATGCATCGAAGAGCCTTTTATTACATGAATTTAAATGAATAGTGATGCTATTAAATAAATTGTACGATTTGTATGTTCACACTTCTTCTGAAAGATTTGCTTAGTTTCAAACGATATTATTATTTAAACTAATGAACAAATAAAGAAGTGATTCATTGTATTCATAAATATAGTCAAAAGAAAAACAATATTTTCCTTATCAAAGACTTTTGCCATGACTGACAGTTTCACTCGTGATGATCCCAAAAAATTCAACTACCTACAATCTACACTGCATGATCATTAAATGTTTTGTAATGTTCTATTTGATGAACTGATGTGGAATTTAAAAATCAATTATACATGTGTAATAGTATGTGTTTCGTACTGATATCGGAGGATTCAGAGTTCAAATAATAAGTCTGATGCTTATAAACATCTTTATGTACTTGTTGATCTTGCTACTTGTAGAAGACAGCATATATATATAAATCACTGAAGATAATATTTTTTACTCATTTCTATTAGTGTATCTAACATGACGATTTATTTTAGTATTGTCAACGTTTCGAAATAATTTCTGTACTACTAGATAATATCACCTAATATAAGGTTATCATAACTATTAAATTTTCTTATTTGCTATACAACAATCGAGCAACATTAACACAAGCACCGCCATATATAAATAAAAATCCAGCATGGGACAAATAGATTAATATGTAAGATCCGAGAATTAAGCAGCCGACTTTTTTTTATACAACAGTCTATATATGTGAATCCAGTCATTCGCAATCCTTTGAAAAATATTATGAGTATTTGCTGCTAATAAGTAGAGTAAGGATCAATACTATTTGTAATCTGTTCTACAGCGTCTAGTTAATTCATGACTCATCAGTTTAATTACCATTAGTGAAATTCTCAAATTGCTGTATAATAAGGCTCTTTACTTCTCAAAAGTTTATGCTTGAATTGTATTTCAACTATTAGTAATCAGTCAGTAATAGTTTTTAACTATTTCCAATGAATATAATAGATGGAAAAGTCGTATGTCAATATTTCTTCAATTGAAATTTTCAAATCCTATATTCTTTTTTTGGTACGACTGCAATTATGTTTCTCACAGTAATTTGTTGGGCATTCCTCTTTTGTTAACCATCAATTTCTGTTATTATTATCTCATGGTCACATTCATTTATTTGTTGCTGAGCGTCAAAATTCGTGACCGTAATTTCTAGTTTCCTCCAACATTGAGGGAGTAATATCTATTAGTTTCGCGCTAGAATTCAACTATTTTTTTTTCTGTACAAAGCTTTTATTTCAGGAATTCTTATTATTTGCCCGCAAACATAATGATAAACTACTGATTACTCATATCAGTAGTTATTACAACACGTACGCAATAAGCAGATTTGATCATCATTGCTCGTGCTGTCATAGGAGACTCCAAACGTGTCCAGATATTCTTTGCCATTGCTTTCTTATGCTTTATCGTTCGCAACAGCGAAATTCAGACTTTTTATAATCTTTAACTTATTAGCCTGCAGTAAATCGAAAAAAAAAACATGAGAAGCGGACTAATAAAACATTGAATAATGAGAGAACGAAGCAATATTTATCGAGGGATTATTTTAATCTTTTGTCAAATCGATTCATTGGCATGCAGTGTACCGGTATTAATGAAAGACCGAACAAGCTTCATAGAATGCATGTAATAGGCACAAACATAAGCAGTGGACCATAATAAAGATGGGTAAAGAAATGTAATGAGCAAGATCAAAATATTTTTGATGATTGTTGGTTCGTTTAAACTTTCTATTCTCGGTGATAAACTTGCACTGTATGCGAAAGATAGGAGTCCTGTAAGAAGGAACGATTAATGAGACGGATGATCCTTCAATTAGATTGAAAAGTCAAGTCTACTATTCACAATGAATTTTACAAAAGTTATTACAAGGCGAAAAAAATTATCAGTTCGCAACGCATCATTTTTATCAAATAAGCAAAAAAAATGATATCTCACAAGACAGACAACACTTTGAGAAACGTGCTGCAAACAAAAAAACCCCAAGACAAAATTATTTAATTACTAGTTCGAAGTTCTAGCATTTCCTTCTAGAAAATAGAATTAAATCCATGACCTAGCTTGTATGGAATCAAATAAAATCGTCATGCATCATCGAATATATGACGTGATTCCGTTCTACTAATTTATTTTTAAAAAATAGTTCACTATTTTCAATGATTTTACGGCACTAAGAATGTGACAGAAGTCGGTTTGCTCACTTGAGCAGACGAATTCGTGGCTGTCAACGTGCCTGTATTCATATCGATCGAAAATACAACCAGATTATTTGAATCCTGATTTGCTACAATCAGATGCGTTCCATCTGGAAGGATGTTAAAATTTCGAGGCGTTTGTCCTTGTACATGTACATGTTGAATAGTAGTTAAGTATCCAGCAGCATTATCAATTGCAAAAACAACTATGGAGTCATGACCACGATTTGATGCATAAAGAAATTTATTCGATACAGGATGAACAAGAAGTTCAGCAGCATAATTTATCGATGTAAAATTCTGCGGTAATGTTGAAATCGTTTGGATTGCTCTCAGAGTTGGATTATAGTTAAAGACAGTGATCGATGATGACAATTCATTTATTACGTACACATACTTTTGATTATTACTGAATATTAAATGTCTAGGACCGTCGCCAGGTTGTATTGATTTTGAAATGTATTGCTTTTGTAGTTTTCCATCAGTAGGTATGAATCGATACACATATAATTCGTCTGACCCTAAATCAGCACTAATGGCATATTCTTCTTTCTTATCTAGCAAAATACAATGAGGATGAGATGATGTTTGACTCTCAGGATCAATTGAGGACCCTGCTTGTTGGTAAATTCCAGTTGCATCTTGAATACGACCATGGTTAGTATCAAAAGGTAATATAGCTACAGTGCCAGTCATGTAATTGGCAACAAAAATATAACGACCTAATGCATCCGATGAAAGATAAATTGGATAATTTCCGCCAGAAGATTGTTGATTGATGAAGGTCAATTCAGCTGTTTTTGTTGAATTGATTTTGAAAGAATTTACTTTTCCCTTTTCTAGTTCGTTGACAGATAAAATATACTTTCGTGATGGATGCATTAGTACATATGTCGGATTCTGTGTAATTGCAACAAGTCCCAATGGTTTTAACGATGAATCTTTACGATCAAAGGCAAAAGCATAAATACCTTTGCTGGCGTTTTTACTTTCCCCAGTGTATGTTCCGACATATACCAAGATAGGTGAATTTCCTGCAGGTTGTGCCCATGTCCAAGAATTGAACAAACCTAGTACTGATCAAAATTTTCTCTTAGAAATGTCGAAAAGTTAATGAAAATGTAAGGTTTTACTTGCAAGAAGCGATGTAAAAAACATAAAAAGCATTAATCTGAACGTGGTATACGCTAAATGATCACTGATAATATACACGTATAAATGTTATGTTGCAAATATCACAACTAATACTTTTTAAGCCTTCAGCCTACATTAAGCGATGTATCTGTAAGAAGACCATCTTATGTTTCTTGTTTTTCATTGCGATACATTTTTAAAACAAGTTGTACCATTCTTCAGCATCAAGTACTAATTGGATTCGCTCAACAAGAAAGGAAAATGATTGACCATATTCGTGGATATTGTTTGTCCATGTCAGGAATTTATGTAGAGCCGTAACGATGATTACGCAAGATGACTATATAGATAAATAAAATGTGAGAATGGGATAAGAGAAAAAAGTACGATAAATAATATTTCTATTGTGAGTCGGTGCTTATCTGAAATGATTTTCATCGAATCAAAACATGTGTTTAAAGCTGTACCTGAAAACTATTCGAAATACAGTTTTTACCTGCCAGTATCAATAAAATTTATCATCACAAAGACTACAAATTGACTCCGTTATATCGATGCAGTATTACACTACTTGAAATTGTTTTGGTGATATAGACGTGATTAATTGGAAAGAAATTGTCAATCTATATTGATTCGAAGTATTACGAACAATTTTAATAATGCCCGAACTATCGTATTTACTAATTTAAACTTCATTCGAGCTTCAATCGATGATGTTCGCGATGATGCTAAAATGAAATAGAAATAAAGTGCTCATATGTCGATAGAGCATACTATGAGTAGGCTTAGATTAAAGTTAACCAAACCGTAATCCCATATTGAACGTTTGTTCAAATATACGCCAGTACTCCGCGGCATCAACAAGAATTGACGATATACTACGGCAGAATAATGGTCATAGCATAGTTGTCTAAAGAAGTATCTTTTTTTTTGCCGCGTGTCTGCTGCACTTTTCAGTTTGTACTGATAATATTAATTTCTGTATTCGTGCATCTTGCAATTTTCAATCAGACAGAAGACATCTTTTTCGTTGTGAATTCCATGTACCGTGCCGTCCAATAGTAAGATTTCATTTTAGTTTTGTAATGAATATCTGCCGAGAACTAATTGTGCAATGATTACCTGGCAGTCGAAATCATATCGACGGGCGTAAACATAATGATGAAACGCAAGAGTGAATGTGTGCATGTATAGGATGCCTTCATTTTTCGAATACTTGAACGGTGAGAATATTATAAACTTTTCGAAAGAGAAAAAAACAAGTTTTCTTCTCATAAAATTTGTTATGATCCAATAAATCACCAAGCGAACACGCTTCTTTGAAAATGTGAATCACTCTATTCGAGTCTAATACAACAGAAAAAATAAAATATCCACCTGTTCAAGCACATCACGCGAAAATACCGTCTATGGTGGCTTCCGCATAAATATATTTCTTTAAACTACAGAACCAGTTTTTACAATTTCGTCTAATCTAGTTTATAGTTCTTCGATCTTTTACCATACAGATCGCTTATTTATTACTCTAGCCAAAGTTGTATTATGCATGAACAGTGTTGAAAAAAACACCGAAAAACTCGCACTAACATCACTGATAGTAACGCTCATCCGAGATCGATGATGTCGATATTAGTGCTCTAGTGATCGTCAGCATTGCAGGGTGTGTCAATGCTTCAGTGAATACTGATGAGAGAGTTATCTAGGTTCCAGTGGACGTCATCGTCAGTATAATCACAGCTTCAGTGAAGACTAACACTGATAAGATCTTTATTTCATAAATATCACCGTCAATAATCTATAAACTGAAACTTGACATCTCTAACTGCATTCTCTTCAATGATAGTTGGCGCTAAATATGACGCTTTCAATAGGCTTTCACCTTGTCGAATGACAACATTTATCGCATTCACTGTAAGCCATGTTGGTTACTCTCGTTCTTTTTTTTTCCTATTCCTATTGCGTGTCGTCGAGGTGAAAGCAAAACAACATGAGATGTGCGATGCAACACGCATATAATAAGAAAAATGCTTTCTTCTGATTGTGACACGAGTCTTTTGAAAAAAGCAGATGGCGTGAATAAAATTGGTCTACAATCAGCTGCATTTTCCTTGATGTTACAGAAGCAATTCTGATACAAAAAATGATTTTTCTAGATGGATCAAATTGCTACTTTGGAGACGTTGCCTGACGAAATTATTGTACAAATTTGCTTGTATCTTCGTGGAGTTGATGCTCTGTATTCTTTTTACAATCTCAATAAACGGCTAAATATCACTATAACTGGTTATTGTCGTTATATCAATCTAATGGCGGTCGCACATAATCAATTCGAATATGTGGTTTCAGAAATTTTACCCAGTATTGGATCTGCTGTTCTCTCATTTGTATTACATGCCAGTTGGGAAACAATTATGTCAGAAAAAGCATTCAATATTCTGTTTCATTCGTCTGTATCACGTGTTTTCCCATATATTCGAAGAATAGTCCTGAAATGGTTCTCTGGTGAGAGGCTTTTTACCTTCCTGGATAATTTAAATGATCTTTCACAATTGATTCAATTGGATATTCGAGGTCTCAGAGGTAATATTCCAGAGAAATTATTGACAAAGATTTTTTCTTCGAATCATTCCCAATTAAAATCGATCTCCTTCGGTGACGATTCAGTTGATTTAGTTTTATCGGATGATGATGAACTCGAATGTTATCCGAACATAGAAGAACTGAAAATCGATGTGAAGCCATGCCGAATGTTGGAACTTCTTTTGAAAGCTCTACCCAATCTCCATTGCTTCCATGTTTCCATAAGCGAATATTTACCTTCTTCGACACCTAAGCAATTTTTACTGGCTTCAGTAGCATCTCAGTATCTTGTCGATTTTGAATTGCGTTCGATCGCTACATGTTGGACGCTGGATGAAATCGTCGATCTATTACACCGAATGCGATCTTTGAAAAAATTGTCGCTGGACATTTGCACAAAGGATGACCGTTTTCTAAAAACAGAATATCTCGACACTTGTTTACCAAAAACTCTTACTGAATTCTATTTTTTTATTCGTTATTACTATTTAGACAAAAATTTAGACATAGATACCTTGCTCCATTCGTGGCCTACACATATTCCAGTAGCTTTTTGGAATGATCGACAGAGATATTGCGTATTAATTCATAGTATTCCGTACGGTCTACGTTCTCTCTCACTATCAGCAACATTAGGCAAACAGATGTCATCAGGATGGAAATATATGGACTGTGTTGAAGATCTTTACATATACGATGGCAATTCTATTCAGGATATATTGATTGTTTTACAACACACTCATCGGATTCGAGCGCTGACTATTGATATTCAACAGGAAGCTGAACATGGTACGTATAGTCGTGTCACTTACGGAGACGATACACGTAAAAGCACATCAAACTATATAAAACATATGTTATTCTCACAATGACGAGAAATCGAAGAGAAAATAGTTGTTCAATTCTATTAAATCAATCTTTGGCAGTGCTTCTTTTTTCGAGTAGATGCTAAGAAGACATTGTCTAATAGAAAGGATTGTAATACGTATGAGAACACGATTCATATATCGTTGCTTTATTAAGCACTCTACTCAAAATCAATTATTTTTGATTAAATTCACTGCATCATCTAGAAAAATGTACAGAAAAAGAGATCTATCACAGATACATTGTCAATTATTATTGTTCAAGAGAAACAATAAAGGTACTGTTCTGTTAAGAAAGCCAAAGAATTTTATTTCAATAATTGAGAAGTCTTCTGCGAATTTATATTTATTAGCAAACGAAATGTTTTGATTGTCAAATAAAAAAGAAATGTTTTCATTTCAAATTGATTTTGAGAATCTACGATGAATTCATTTTTTATGAATAGATACAAATACAAAGAATGTTTCCATACGACTACCTTGGCTAAAAAAACTCGATGTGTATGGAAAGTGCGACCTTTTTTATTTGCTCGATGCAGCACCGGNATTTCTATACTTTTTTTGGGAAGATGTAGAGCTCGCTAGTGCTTTCAATACAATTCTATATTTAGTTTAGGAAAATGTAGAGTTCGCTCTTGTTTTCCCTGCAATTTCTATATTTTGGTTTTGGAAGATGCAGAGTTCGCTTGATATATGTTTGCAGGGTTTCGATGTATTCAGCTTTTATTAGTAGAGTGTGCTAAACTACGTAGTGCTCTTCTACGTTTTCTAAATTAAGTCTCATATTTAGGGTTCATTAGACCAAATTACCAATATGAACGTCATAAGCCTGTTTTTGTATTGGAATTCTATGTAGTTTCTACACTAACATAAGATAAATAGTCCATTGAAAAGAAACTAATTGGAACCCAAAGATATAATTATTCAACAACGAAAACTGTGGAAAAAATGCAAACGGGACAAGATTTAGGTGTTGGTATTCGAGTTCTCTTCACACAAGCGTCCATCGAGGTCACACTTTGAATGGATATTGAATCATGTTTGTGGAACATGAGAGAAACAATTCAAAATCTCCCTTCGATCTTCATCAAAACTTTCTATTTTTTCACCCCTTGCTCGAGCTATATTAGGCTTTGTTTTTCAATATGAGAATTAAGTATGTCATGTTCCAAAAAGCGTTCCTGATTAAGATTAAGATTCATAGTACTTAAACTAAATCTATGATCTTGCTACGCTCCAAAAAAGATTTTATAAAAAACTATGACGCGATCAACCTATTCCAGTGACCTCGTTTAAAATGCAACAAGATTTCATTGGTGTTTTTTAAGACAATTTATTCGACAGTACATCTCACTTATAAAATCTTCTTTTTGGTGAAGCAGCAAAATTCATAATTAATCCAGAGCTGATAAAGCTTTTCGAATCAAATACATTGAAATGTGAAACTAATTTTGTTTTGCTGCCATGTTCTTACACTAATCTTCCCAAATGAGAAGTAACACGTTCAGACCGTATTCACTTAGCTTCAAACAGACTACACGCGACACTTCTAAATCTTTCTTACATTCAGTTAGCTTTACGCTAGATTTTCTAGTGGACTCTACAACTCCCTAAACTAAATGTTAAATTGCATAGACAGCAAGAGTGAACTCCACACCTTCCTAAACTAAATATAAAATTGTATTGAATGCACTAGCGAACTCTACATCTAACTAAACTAAAATATAGAAATTGTATAGAAAACAAGAGCGAACTCTACATCTTCTTAAACTTTATGCGATTCGAACTTGAAAGTGACAATTGTTAAATATGAGTATTCATCCATCAAAACTTGAAATTTAAATTAATTAAGTTTTTGTAGTTCTGGAAAAACAAACAGTTTAATTTCTTAACTTTAATGCTGACTGAAGTTTAAATTTTTAATAATATTTTAAAATTTTATTTGACTTATGATCGCAAATGAGAAGTATCTTTCCTTTTATAATAAATGCTCCTATGATTCTTCGAAACATCGAGCAGTATTTTGGTCCTTGAGATATATTTTAAGATGATGTACCTTTGTCCAACGGTTATCTCTTATCTTTTTTTAGTTTTGCTTATATCAACTTGCATTAAATAATCAGTTCTTATCAGAATGTTTCTTTTTGACTTCTTTGACAAAAAGGAATTAATTCTTGTTCTCGATTGTGTTGTGACATAGTTGTTATTTTGTTCTGTATCCATAGGTCGCTTATAGCGAAGTCGTACTATGTGGAAGGTACGCTTTTGGTTTCTGTTTTTTCTGTCAGTGCTTAATGTACGATTATCGGTTAATAGCAATACTCAAACAACACCCTATCGAAAACAAACAACAACAATTCCAGACACAGAATATGAGCAAGTCATCACTCAACGTTATCTTTTTGCTTCATTTGCCAACGAATCTACTGCTTGGCCTGGGCTCAACAATATCAACTATGTATGGCAAGCTATTTCGTTACCACAATATCATTCTCAAGCTACCGAAGGAGTTTGGCTTCTATGTGAAGTTATTAATGAAAATGATGAACCGACTTCATCATCTAGTCAATTTCAAATGTCCTGGTTGTCGCTATCTGCTAATGGCACTCTAGTAGTTTTACCCGAGATTAATGTGAAGAATAATAACAGTTTATTGATTTCATCCCATAATGAAATGGCTGCTTCGTCCTATTCAGCTGCTCTTATCACACCAGAGAATGTACAATTGATATTATGTAATCAATCAGACGCTACTTCCTGTAGAATTGTACACATAATCTCGTTTCCTTCTTTTCTTTTCCATACCACTAAAATCAACGATGGTTTATTTGTAGAAGACCTTGGACTTGCCGGATGGTTATATATTGCTAGCGATTCAGGTTTACATGGATTGGATCTTTTGACATTGACGATTAATCCTTACCTTCATGAGATAAATGTATCGGTCGCATCTTTAGCTTGGAGTTCACAACGACAGACAATATTTGCCGGTACTGAAACTAAACTTTGGATTCAACAATATGGTGATGGTAATGAAGAATGGCGTTTTGAACATATTAATGCATTTATAGACGCACCGATTACTTCATTAGTATATAATGATGTACAAGATAAATTATGGATCGGACAAGATACAGGAATAACTCTACTTTCATCGATTGTCCTGTCAATGGGACGTCTTCATTGGTATTTCTCTAGGTTAGCAGGGCAGATTTCCAATCCTGGATCCGATATAGGGCACTTACCATTTGCAAATATAACTACATTGGGTGTTAGTCATTCGAAATCATCTGAGAGTCGGGTATGGATGGGAGGCGTTCGTGGAGTGATACGTTTCAATTCTAACACAAGCGATTTGAATGCGTGACGTGTATTTCATAGTGCTAGATACATGCCAAATCGTGAATCGCAAGTCAATGTGTCTTCATTAGCTGTATTGAGTCGTGCCAATGACATACCGGATTATATCGGTAGTGCTGCAGTAGCAGTCACTAATAAAGGTCTAGCTGTCTTTCACTTCGAAAAATGGACATTAGCACAACAAGCGGAACACTTTCAAAAATTTCTTGATCAACCAGGTAGACACGATAAATATGGTCTCGTATCTAGTTGTCATATGTCATCTTGGGGCGATATTCGTACTTGCATGAAAGGACCAAACGATAATGATGGTCTTTGGACATCAATGTATTTAGCAAGTCAAGTCTTTCGCTATGCAATGGTACGAGATCCAACAATCAAAACTGAAGCATGAAAGCATTTTGAGGCTTTAGAATTGCTCAATCAAGTTTCAGGTAGTCTTTAGACCATAAAAGTATTATTTGATAATTAGTTTTTTCGTAATCATTCTCTTGACAGGTATTCTTGGCTATCCTGGCCGTTCATTTGCAAAACGTACTGATTTTCCTCCTAGTCCTGACTGGTATCCTTCTCCCATTTATTCCAATCTACAATTTAAAGGCGATACGTCATCGGATGAAATTGTAGGTCACGAATTTGTCTATCCACTCGTACGTGATTTATTGGCTGAAAATGATAATGAGCGTCAACGAGCCTACATACTCACGTTTAATATTACTAATCATATTTTAACTCATGACTGGTATTTAATGGGTGAAAATCATACACATACAACATGGGGCATTTGGAATCCGATTCTGGTGAACGATAATGATTTTTACCAGGAAAGTCGAGGCCTTAATAGTCTTCAAATATTAGCTTTTCTATTACAAACCTATGCTTATAGTGGCGACGAACGTTTTCTTGATGGCGCCTATCTTCTCACTGAATCATATCAATATGATGTCAACCTTATCAATGAAAAGACAATTGCTGTTTGTGATAATAGTTTTTCCGATGATGAATTAGCATATTTATCATATTTTACACTAGTTCATGCATGTCATTCAATTACTTCATCGAGTAGTCTATCACCAAAACAGAAACAACATGCACGAACATTGATTGATCACTTATTAGAATATATGAAAGTTGGATTAAATCTATCACATAAATACAAACAAATGGAAAAATCCCCATTCTATAACTTTATCTATTGTTATGTTAGCGGTCAAGTCAATCAAACTCGACGCCTATTTAAAAAACACAATTTATCATCTACGAAATCGTCTGATTTTGATTGTCACTCATTATCCAATGATGGTATATGGTATATGCAACGTTGGCCACTTGAACTTATCGATTGGCAACAATTCAATAGTGATCGATTAGATATTCAAATTAACGTACCAGCAGAGTGCAGTTCGAAACCATCTTCATTACAAATGTTGCCGCCTGATGAACGATCTTCTAAGAAATGGAATGGAAATATCTATGATTTAGATGATGGTAGTGGATTTAATGAAGATGATCCAGCTGCTTTCTTATTAAGTTATTGGGGAATGCGTTATTTCAACTTATTAGAATAGAGATAGTTCGAACATATTTGTCCACAATATCGATACACTTTTTCCATTTATTTGAAATTGATATTCGAATATATTTTAAAATGAATTGATTTCTTTTCCTACCTTGCTCCATGTTTTTCATTCTTCTCTTTTTTCATTGGATTGGTAGTCACATAGTCTGCACCTTCGAGCACAAAACAGAGTAATTATAAGATAAAAGAAAACTCATGATGACAAACATACAAGTAATATTTAACAGTATTGTATGCATTGCATATTCTAAACGAGGTCATAAAAAGCGTTTACTTTTTCCTTTCTCTCTGTTCGTTCTATTTTTTTTCTAATGTTTTTTAGGCTTACAGGACAAAGTGAATATGGGCTATTTTATTCGCTAGCGAAATGATTTCGCAAAATAGGAATGCATATACCTCCGAAGTTTGAATTTTTTTTTAATTAATTTTGTTGTAATCGATGTAGATTGAGTTACACTAGATACATTGAAAAAATCAGCCCTGTAATGCTTGTTCTGCTGAGATTTTATTTAAAAAACTAGTTTTAGTGACGTGACACAAAAAATGAACGAAATTTGTCATTATTTGTATTTTCATTTGTAAATGCTGAAGCTCAAACAGTATTTGTGAAAACTGAATAGTTTACTTTGTAGAAGACTCTCTAAGTTAGAAAATCTGTGCGCAAAATTTTTCTTTGACATGCTTAGGTTTTTCAAAAACTATTGTTAGCCACGCCAGTGACTACGAACTACGAATATAGTTGCGAAAACTCTTCTTGTAACTGAATGAGAAGATCAAGAATCAATTTTAAACGCCACGAAGCCTTATTGGAAATCTTAACATCATAGTAAAATAACAGGTCTAGTGCTTGAACATGAGTAGAGCTCTAAAAAATTCGACTTTAGCGAGGCACCGTTTCGAATTTGATCCTACTGAAAACTTCATTATGAACAAAGTCTCTAGTGTGGAGTCTATTCTCAAACTCTTGATTTCGTCTATCGCAAGGTTAGAGAGTTATTCAATAATTAGGCTTTAATTAACTAACTAACTAACTAGTCAATTAAGTTTAATTAGATGTGAGCTGAAATAACCGATATTTTCACATATATTAATAGGAAAAGAACCTGTTCAAAGAAATAAATTCTTATAAAGAATCAAAGTGACATCGACGATGATTATGCGGTATTTTCGTTGATTTTGTCAATGTACACCTGTGGACAATAATCTTTCTCTCGGCCTTTTTTTCATCTAGGATTCCTTTGATCTCAAGTGAATGTTGGGTACAAGCATGATTTCAACACTGCATTTTAGTGTAGTGTATGATTGGTAATGAGCTGCTTCAATGAAGAATGCACGTCGTTCAATACGATCTCTTGCAGCTAACATTTATTTGAGACGAAAGCAATTCCATATGGCAAGAACGAGGGGGAAGAAAGAAAGAAGCCTTTCGTCCAGGAGTGTAAATCAAAGTAATAAATCCATACTTCTTTTCCTCTCTTTGATTTGTAGCAGCAGCACTTAACAATTTCAAATACAGGAAGGATATCTAAATTACATACTTGTCTATCATCGTCCAATGCATCTCGTAACTTCTGTCCGAATTCACTGTCATCAAGTCAAATATCGTGATATTAAGCCATCAGTGAACGTTTATAATAGTTACTACCAATGAACCCAAATATGAGCACGATATACACAGTAAACCGACACATTCATCATACTAGCGTAATATCAGTCGAACATAAGTGAGATGAAGTGATCGAGGGAATGAGAATTCGTTATCACTTATTGAAACTAGTATTATGTAGGCTTTGACGTCAATAGTTTCTTCATTCAACTGATACCGACGCACAGATCTACAAATGATGACGGACAAATTAGTATGCTCCCTTTTTTATTAGAGCATATTGATGCTACAAAATCATCAAGTGTCGACCGATGGTGACATATTACTCTCTCCAATGTCCTTTCCTTTTGCTTTTAGAATTTAATTTAATGGTACTTGGCCATTTTAGAAAACAATTCCTCTATAGGAAGCACAGCTAATCAGTTTTCGCATGTATCTCCAATAAGTAATGAAATTATAAAAGGTAAAAAGAAACGTAACGGTTGCGGGTAGGTGTAGGTTTCAGTCTCATCCTTACTTAAGCCTACGCCACACCCACATCCACACCCTTACAAGCAGACGATCTGTCTATTAGAAGTGAACTGACTGGCCTGTGTGGTGTCTTGACCTGGTCTGCCTGACCTATATCAAGCTTGAAAATCACGACCTGTTTGAACTTCTGCTGTACCGTCATGATAGAGTCGTCTTGTTTGGGCGTTAATGATATGCTATTTGCCTTTTATCACTCTAATGACATCGCCTTGTTAACGCAAACGTCACTTTCTTTCGTTTTTTTGCTAAGCAGTTAACAAAGAAAAGCAACGCAAAGCATCTAACGAGAATTGTTACAGGGCTACAGAGACACAGAAGAACAAGTTGTTCTGTTATGCAATAAAGACACTAAACACAGAGCATCTCTATCTGGTTTTCCATGTGTTATTAAGTAACGGCAACAGGCAGTTTGTTATTCGGTGGCTGTAGCTACGGGTGTGCCTGTGGATTGTTGCTGCGAGTGAATGTACGTGTCTGTGTGGTGTGGATGTGTTGTGGTTTGTGCTCTGGGTACTAGTGGATGTCGATGTGAGATGCAGATGTTAACCCATTCGCGGGGAGAGGGGGAGCTTAGTGGACAATTTGTTCGTAGTTAATGGAAAAATGGTTTTTATTATAGTCTTTCAAAAGCTTGCACATCTGCAATTAAAAACAGTCTTCTGTATCGTTGAAAATTTTAGAAGCCAATGATCTCTGCTCTTTATAATGTAATTTTTATTAGAAGTGTTTTAATGTTATTCCTGTCAATCGAACGATAGAAAATATAAGTAGAATACGCATGTATGATAGTGCCATACTACTTAGAGCATACCAAAAGTTCTGGCCGCGGTGTTCAAAGGATCTTTTCGCATAAGGGGACCTATTAAGAAATGAAAAACCAAATATACCATGTTGGAGGGTTTTTGAGACACGTCGAATGGTATAAAGTAAATCTTGTTTTCCTAGGACTTTGAAAAACCTAGAGTCAATTTACTAATATACGACTATACACCCACACCCAAATCCACATCCACCCACACTGACAAGATGACTGGAGATGCTACATATAGGATGTTGTAGCTCGTCAAAACCTACAAAATTGTATGTGAGAAAAAATATTTTACAAATACTTTTCGACTAATACCAAGGACCACAATGTTCAGAAACTTATCATGCTTGGGTGTGGATGTGTAATTGTCTATCAGTAAATTGATTTTAGTTCCTTTAAAGCCTTATAAAAACAGGATTTACTATATAGCACTCGACGCGTCTCAAAAAACTCTACAACATGGTATATTTAGTTTTTCATTTCCCAATAAGTTCCTTTATCTGAAAAGATCCTCTAAACGCCGTAATCAGAACTTTTGGTATGCCCTAATTGCAACAGTCCCAGATGTTGAGAAAGGTGATATAATGGACAAGTACAAGCCATACAAGGCTAAGAAGTTACTTCTTTCAAGATTTTTTTGACAAACGGGCAGTGGACGTTCAATGTCTTGCATTAAAAATGCATCTTTGCTACAGAACTTCAAACAACCTCAGGTGCTCTGACCTCATAATAGATAGAGCTCCTTAGATGCTCGCATTAAATTATACGTTGAATCCAATTTGATATCGGCATGTAATGAACAATCTTGTGGTCCCATATAGGGGACATCCGCCGTGAATGGGTTAATGTAAGCCTTGAAGTGGGCATGAATATGAATATAGGCGAGGTTGAGACCCACATTCACACATGCATACACACCCTCGAATAGTGTGTTGACCACAGAATTATGCAGACTAGGCTTTGTTTTAGATTAACTTTTATTGTAAAGGTTTTTGCTGAGCTAATATATGATCAAAAATTAGATAAATGAATCACGAAGCCTATGCAACAGATCTATAAGCAAATAAAAACTAAATACCTGCGTACACAGATAAAACTTGACGATTTAACTTAGTTAATCACCCTATCCAGTCAATATTTTGTGTTTTAATGAAATCTGATACCTGATGGTTTTCTTTATTATAAATATGGCGAATGCACACCTCTTCATTCTTCCTTTGATCTGAGTTCCAAACAGATGTGTCGGCTCTCTTACTTTCTGCTCTTTGCAGTTGTGTTTTTCTCCGTTGGATCACAACAAGCAAACACATATGCAGCTCGTGGGCTCGGTGACGCCATTGTCAATACACATATCCTAACAGTGTTTACCTATCAAGGTAACCAAATTTATGTCTATGGTGCCATTTCAAATGAAAATGAAAATCTACAAACACCACAGAAATGGATTTTCTACTATGTACCAGTCATGTTACCAGTTTTAACTGCTAATCAATGGATCACATCAAGTGAAAATGAAATACGTGCAACATTGACGTTAGGTAATGATGAAGTTGAAAATCTAGCACGGCGTTCTATTATTAAGAAATATGATTACCAAACAATTAGTCAATATTCCAAATATTGGGATGTTGCACCACTAATGATTGACTCATTGACAGCATTTATTATTAAAAGTTCGACAAATACACCGGTTGAAGGTGCCCATCCATTCACAGCTTTTCATCCAAATACACTGACAATGATGTTTCGTTTTGAATGCTCAACACAGAGAAGAGCTAATGATATTATTCAACTAATTCGGAATGGTGATTATTCAATTGAAATTGCGTTTTATTTTGCTGGATTCAAACAGATTACAACCAACTTTGTTTCGATTACTGGTAGTCAAATGAAATCAGTGTTTAGCAAAACAATAGCTGATGGTGGTAACACAAATGCACAATATATCCATCGAAATCAAGCAAAGAAATTTATTTCAACTTATATGTTGAATGTGAAGAAAATGATTTATATGGAAAATACAAATGTGAACACCTCTGTATTTACGGCTGGTCTTGAAGATCAATTTATTTCATTATTGCAGCAAGGCAAGGAATCTGCTCTAGAGTCTAGATGTTTTTCTATCTTTTTTTTCTTTTCTTCATGTTTTTTTCTATAGGAATGGATACTGTTAGAGAAACTCAATTAGATGCAAAACTCTACGATCAAGTCTGGTCTTCATCTGATCTAAGTCCTGATCGTATTACATCTGAAATTCAAAGTTTTTTTACCTACAATGAAACCGAAACAAGACGTCATAATTATACCGACATTTACTTTGATGTCGATAGTAAAAAATCTCAGTCCAATACAACGTCAGCTAATATTGGTCTTAGTTTTGGATATCAATTACTAAACCTTGGCTTATTCAGTAGTGGTTCTTTATCAAGCAATTCATCTCATTCTGAACATACAACAACACATGTAATAACAACGGCTACTGATATACAACATTTTACAGATCAACAATCTGTGCAAACAGCATGGACAGGTGAAAAATGGGTTCCAAAATCATTTAAGTTATTTAAATTGATTGATATGAATGACGTACTGCAGGTAGCATTATTAGCTAAACAAGTTATGGCTGAAAAACAAAATGGTGCAATCATACGAACTGTCAATACAATTCACAGTCCAATTCTTACACACACTGTCAAGCAACCACCTATGTTAACTGGTGAAGGTAGACTCTTTTTTGGCGTTGCTCCTCCACCACTGCCCTGGTTACTGTGTGACGGTCGAGCAATTTCACGCATTGAATATCAACGTCTATTCTCTGTTATTGGTACAAAATATGGTCAAGGTGATAGTGTAACAACATTTAATTTGCCTGATTTTCGTGGACGAGTAGCTGTTGGAGTTGATGGATCAAATTTTTCAAATGTTGGATTGACAGGTGGTCGAGCAATGCATCGATTGACCATCGAAGAATTACCATCACATACACATCAGGCCGGTTCGCTTTCTTTATCATATGCTGGAAGTCACACTCATTCGTATACTGATCCAGGACATAATCACGGTGGACAAACAGGAAGAGGACCACAAGGCTTAGGGCCACACTATCATCATAATGCTGGACGTGGTGGACAGAGTCAAGATAGTGAGCATACTCACTCAATTGCAACCGATAGAACAAATATTGTTATTCACCATAATGGAGATCATACCCATACAATACAAGGTGAAACAAGTAGAGTTGGTCTTGGGCAACAATTTAGTTTGATGCAGCCTTATCAGACAGTTAACTACATTATTTATGCTGATTAGACAATGTCTTCTAGCTTTTATCCTTCGATTATCAAGAAACAGAAACGTAATTTCTAGTTAGAATACAAATAAAACGAATTGCTATCTGCTACCCGATACAAAAATTTGGTCTTTTCTCAAAATAAAATGCACTTACGATAGAATCTATCAGAAGACCACCCTACCTTCCCTACAAGCCGCCAAAGAAAAACAAATTTTCCATTTAATTATCTCAAATGAAAGATCTGGTCAAACTATAGTCAAACCCAAAATATTAGATCATTTGATTTTACCTATGAAAAATGCGAGCTGAAACACGTATTAAGAGGCTATTTTGATCCTTAAAAAAATGTTATTTTGAAGGTGTCTTCTGTATTTTGACATTATCTCACGAACAACTTGATCATTTGAGCCCGGTTACGTTTCACTTGATAAAGAATAGTGTAGGCTACAAATTTACCCTATTCATCAGACTAGTACAGAGTGAAAGAAATGCTGTACGCCAACAGTAGGGTTACCAAACCGATGTTTTCGAAACCAGAAGATCTCCGTAAAACAACCAGGAGTTCACGAGAAGTTTTGCTTTTCAAACTAGAAAAATCAGGAGATTATCTTCGAAAAGCAGAAAGCATTCAGTGTCATTTCCTGGAGGACAGTCGATGTTTTTGTTTACAAAGGTGTTTACTATCTTCTTCTAATAAAGCACTCATAGTAAAATTTGCTGACAACACTCTAAAAAAAAGAGGTTTTTTACCGAACCTAAAAAGGTTCATTCCGCCGGTACACGGGAAGATCGTTTTTTAGTTTCGTAATAAAGGTTTTGTACAAAACCTTGTTTCTCAAACTGAAGGAAAGGTTCCGCAATCAAAGTTCCGTATAGAACCATTTGAGTGGTTACTGAAAAAGATTTCGTATATTTGTCTTTCAGCTAAACCTTTACTAACGTCTACCGGTACGATAATCAATGAGAAAAATAGCAGAAACACACTCGCCCACCGAATCACTACAACTCACTTCTGCCATTCAGGTGCTAAATAATGTTTTCTATACTCAAGAAAGCGAATTTTCTCGAGTATAGATGACATCATATAACATCCGAACGACAAGTAACTCGTAGTGACTAGGTGGGCGAGTGTGACACTGCTATTTTTCTCACCCCCTAGCACTTTGTTCTCAAAAAGAACTTACCCTTGTTACATCTTGGAGCCGAACTAGAACAAAAAAAGTATTTTCGTTTATTTTCTCAAATTCATCTTACCTTAGATCCAATCTTAAAGTCAATCTAAACTAAAAGAAATAATTTCGGAGTAGTTCATATTTCCAAATTCATCTTACCACGCATCTGATCTTCGAGTTAATCTAAAATGAAGAACAAATTTCAGTTTAGTTTGTATTTTTAAGTTTATCTCACTTTTGATATAATCTGAACGTCAATCTAAAATTAAAAGAGAAATTCAGTTAAGTTTATTTTTTCAAACTTATCTTACCTCTCATCTAGTGAAACTTACTTATGATCTTGATCCTAGGGTCGATTTGAAGTAGAAACGAGTCAACATAGGGCGGTCCACAAGTCACGCACCCGAAAAAATATTCGAATATCTCCATTACGGCTCGAGCAAACAAGCCGATTCTTTTATCAATGATAGAGTCGTGTTCAAGCTTTATATTCATAAAGACAAGCCTAGAGAGACTCTTTGTTAAGTATCACTATTGATCTCAACCAAAAAAAATTCTACTTTTTCACAGATAGGAAAAATAATGAACATATATCATTTTAGGGAAAAAAATTGAGTATTATTGTCATCTTTTAATCGAATAGATTGGTTTTTTACCATGATAAAGACGTGTTCAAAGTTCCTATTTATAAGAGAAATATTGTAAAATGCTGTTGGGAGGTAGTACTATTAATTGCAATAGAAAAAGATTCATCTTTTTACTGGTTTGAAAATTGACACAAAGTGAGCAAAACTCACTTTTACTGTGATAAATTCTGGTATGCTAGCATCTCTAACTCGAACATTAATAAAGGATTACGACTTACTTGTGGTATCAAAAAAAAGAACTGCGTATGAACTTATGATTATTACGGTAAAAATTACTTTTGTTCACGTTGTGTCAATTTTCAAACCCGTAAAAAGATGAATCTTTTTCTATTGTAATATATAGTGCTGCTTATCAAAGCATTTTGCAATATTTCTCTTATAAATATGAAATCTGAACACGTCTTTATCATGGTAAAAAGACTAGCCTATTCGATTAATTGATGACAATGATACTCAATTTTTTCCGTAAAATGATATATGTTCATTGTTTTTTTTCTGTCTGTGAAAGAGTAAATTTTTTTGTTGAGATCAATAGTGAGACTTAAGAGAGAGTCTCTCTAGGCTTGTCTTTATGGATATAAAGCTTGAACATGACTCTATTATGGATAAAAGAATCAGCTCGTTTGCTCTAGCCGTATTGGAGATATTCAAATACTTTTCGGGTGCATGACTTTTGGACCATCCTGTATATATTAACTAATAAATTTACGCTTGAAACTCTTTTTGAGATTAACCTATAAAAGAAAACAAATTCATTTGTTGTAAACAATAAACTGACCCATTAATTTGCAAGGATCGGGAAAGTATTGTCTTCGCCAGTGTCACCACCGAACCGACAATTAAATACAATTAACGAATGTCAGCGCCAGAATGAGAGAAGGGTGGGTGTAAACCGAGGGGGAAGCGGCGGATTTTGGATTTTCGGATTTTTTTTTGGATTTTTGGATTTTGAAATTCCTCAAAATCCACCAGTAATGTCCTCTTGAAAATGAAGGAATTTCGAGCTGAAATTTTTATCATATGTAGGTCTTGTGGTTCTTAGAATATTCTAAAAGTTTCAGCGCAAACGAATGTTTTCTCCTGAAGATAATGCGATCGCAAGAAATACTCATATTTCGCAGCACGGTCAGAAAATCCACTTTCCTTGAAAGTTGATTATCTTAAGAANTATTTTGCTTTCATTAGATTTCCTGCAATTTGTAGAGGACGTTAGGTATTGATTGAATGAAGATTTTCGTTTGGACTTAATTGAAAACAATTTTAATTAAAGACGATGCGAGTTTTTACAGAGTTTGTATCATAATTTGTTGTGGCAATTTGATATTTATTCTGAATGGAGTGTGTTAAGTTTGGAATTTTTCCGAATTCAATATGTAATAGACGGAGATGATTTCACACTATCAATATCTAGCGAACTCTACATATTACAGTTCATTCAATGCAAAGAATGAAACTCAATATTTAGCGAAGTCTATTAATTAGAGATAGTTGTAATACTGAAGATATCAGCTTTATTAAAATTGTTCTCAGTCAATGTCTAGTAATTTAACAACGAAAATTTAAAATTTTCGACTGATTTCTCAAGAAAGTTTGTTTTAAAAAGTAAACTGTTTTAAAATTAATATAAGTAAATTTTTGAAAATTTAAGAAAACGAAAACTTAAAACTTCAGGTTGTTTTCAATTTGAATCGTTTCAATAAAAAAAAAGATTAAATTTCAATATAGAAGTTATTAAATTTCGATTTTATGTTCGCAAATGAGAAGACACGACTCACAGATATGAAAGATAATGCATTTATCTATCGAATAAGAAAAACGCAGCTCACTATAGTGAACACTATCGAAAAAAAGACTCTGTTCGAAATTTGACAATTTATGCAAAAATCAATTTCAAGAAAAGTGTGTGAACATTTTTTAAAGTCTTATGAACAGATATTCTAGCTGCACGTTATGAATTGTTCAAATTAGACACCTTATAGATTATTTCTACATGTTTTTTTTAGAAAAATCGATTTTTTTTTAAGAGGAGAAGACCTTAAATCCACTGGTATAGTCTATCATATACATTTGTATAATTTTGAACGTATATTCTTACGATTGATTAATCATAATAATGTTTCAATCAGGAAGAAAAAGCAAGATTTTAAATATAACTGAAGTCGTATGTATTCTTTTGTCTTTGAGTTGAATCTGTATGAATTTCTGTGGATGAGCATGTTATAATTAATATTAACGTTGAAATCTTAATTTTTAACTAATAAGTACGTATCAGTCTAGTTAATTTTTCTTTAAGATTAAATAGGTTGCATATGTATTGATATCATCCAGATATAATTCATCTTTTATTTTTTCTTCAAATAAAGACCAAAATTGTATTGATATATGTTCAATATCTTGATGTGATCGTCGATTTGTTTGTAATGCTTGTTTGAATGCTAAATCAGTTCCTGGTCTCATTAACATTGTAAGAGATTTAGCAAAATGATCGAGTCCTATTTGTCCATGTCGATATTGATCAACGATAAACGATTTAAAACAAACTAATTCAACTTTAATTAATGTTAATGAATACCGATTAAATAATTCTAAATCGGTACATTCGGATAATGAACGTAAATAAAATGGAATTGTAAAATCTATTAATTCTTGTGATGTAAGAATAGTTAATGATTGAGCACATTTATAAATTAAATCAAAATAAAAATTAAAACCCATTTCTCCATTTTCATTAATAGATGGAATATTAAGAATAAGAATTCCACCTGATTGAAGTTCTTGAGAACGATATTTAATAAATAAATTGAAATCAAATTTTGATTGATTTTTGAATATTTCACGTTCATTTTCATTAGCAAAATGAAAATAACAATGTTTATTTATATTACAAGGTTTCTTTGATAGAATATGAAGTGAAGCAGATGAAAAAGCAATTGAAAGACAATTTTGTGGAAGACATTCTTCATAAAAAGAACAACCGTTAGCTAATCCTCGATATGAATTATCATCAGCAAGTAATTGAAAAAGTCGTGTCCAATCATTGGTTGGAAGATCATTATGAATAATTAGTGGAGATCTTCGAAGTTTATTTGTTTTTCTAAGATATTCAATAATTATTTTCATAGTTTGGATAGAATTTTGTCCATGAGATGAACCAAAATCAGCAATAATTAAAGGTGTTGAATTTGTTATATTCAATAAATCAACACCAGAATATATAAAATTTCTTCTAGGATCATCTAAGACAGTATGAGTGATTTGTTTTTCTTTTTTTTCTCGCGAACAACAAAGTAATAATGAAAATAGACGTTGAATATCTTAAAAATAAATTCAATTAGTGAATAATAATAATAGACAAGAAAATATTTCATACCATTCATGATTAAAACAGCATATTGATATAAAAACAAATACAAAAGAATGAGGTTGAAAAATGCATCAGATTATTCTATAAAACAAAAATTGTAGTATGAGAATTGTTTTTTTTTTCTTTCAAACTATATTTTATTATGTTAGAAAAAATGTTCAAGATTATATATGTCAGTCTATTTTGATTATAATGTTACAATGGCATTCTAAGCTAACTTGTTTCATTCAGGAAATTAGTAAAAAAAGAAATTACTTTTCTGCATGAAAGAGTATACAAGTCATTTCTGATTTATGCCATAATAAAAGAATGATAGCAACAGCATGCATGACGCTTTGACTTGATGAATGCTTTAAAAAAAAATCATATAGAATGCTTTGATTCTGGAAAATAATGCATGCACGACGATGCAAATCTTGTATGCCGAGAAGAAAAAAAAAATCGATAAGCACATAAAATAGACGAACGAATAACCACAATAATAATCTTTATTGTATTAAAATGTTTATTTATCATAAGTGTTGTCTCCATTAAGCTCGTTCTGTTCTCTTTTAAAATCGAATTGCAGATTAAAACATTTATTCTAATAGAATAATCTATATTTTATCTAGTTGAAAGTTTATGTAATTAATCATTTTTGTTCTCTATTGTCAATAGTTCTTTCTATCTTGATTTTTAGCTGTAACAATAAGTTTTCATCATTTTTAATTTCAATAATCATAGCAAATGAACCCTTTATAAATGAAATGTCATTCTCTTTGATACATTCTGTACCTTTATACTGAATCTATCATATAGATTGATTTTTTACTATATTTTTCAACACACAAATCAAATCCCAAGAATAATTTGAATAGCTAATGAGGTTCTCTTGAAAATACATTGTCTATGAAGATTCTATCGATGGATGATATAAATGAGATTTCTTAAAAAAGTATTTCTTTTCTTTTGAGTCTTTCAACTGAAAGAGCGCAAAATTCTGAAAGAAATTAAGGTTCAGCGCGTTTTTTGCAATTTTCCATTAAAAAATTACAGGCATAAAAAATAGGCGAAATATATCAAAGTATCAGTTAAAAACGTTTTCCTTTTGCAATGCCTGTAATTTACTAATGAGAGGTCGTAGAAAACACATTGAACTTTGATTTCTTTTCAGGAGTTTTCACTCTTTTCAAAAAAAATATTTTTATAAAGTTTTCTGAAATTTGAAGAATATCGAGTTTTCATTTTTACAAAATCCGACTCTTCATATAATTACTATTTGAGTTCAAAGTTAAATGTTGAGAAATATAGAAAAAAAAAATAAAAAATACATTATTGTCATCATTTTGAATTGTACTGTATCAATTCAATTCTTTAATATTTAAAGAAAAAAATTATTGTTTGCATCCATGCGATTTTATTATTGTAAATAATCATTAATGTTCTACGTTTGATTAGAAGATTAATTATGATGAAACTTTAAATAGAATAAAAAAATTCATTTCTTCTTTTAATCAATATTAGTATTTAGTTTGTATCAGATATGATACATTTTTTTCTCGTGATTAAAATAAATTGGATCAGTATTATTATTCTGCTCGTTAGAGTTATGGTTACTATCACAGACTTCTAGTGAATTATATATATATGTCTGAAAGAAAATAATTGAATTACTATTATATAAGATTTCTGTTTGTTTTCATTTATCAAGTCAAATTATATTAAACTTATAAATAGAATTCAATATCATACCATTATTAATATTCATATTTTCAAATAAAAGAAAAATGAATCAAATGACTTTATTCTCTCTTGATTAAAACCTTCTAGCGTTCTTTTATTCTCTTTTTCTTTAAATTAAAAAACATATCACATAAGATAGTCAAAAGAAACTAATTTAATTGTAATGGTCGATCTAATCGTGACCAACTAAGTGGTTCAGCTTTTTTAAGAATTATTTCTATTTTACTCTGTAATAATTCTACTGTTGATTGATTAACATCAACTAATCCAAATAATTCCCATTCATTTGAAAAGCGTTTTGTTTTTGTATCTGTGCCAAATCGTGTATCAACTTTTAATCGACCAGCATTTAATTCAATTTGTGTTTGATCTGGACGTGACATTTTAGCAAAAATACTAAGAACAACAGATGAACCTTGTTGATGAAAATCATAACGACATGATGTTTTGAGAACTTGTGGATCATCTTCATTTTGAGATGATGCATTTTCAACACGCCATAAATGTTCACCTTCAGTGCAACCTGGTTGAGCAGTAAAAGCTTCGAAATCAGTTGTTTTCTTTTGACAACATGACCAATATTTCATACCTAAAAACAAAAAAAACAACAGCATTGGATTATGTTCTTTCTTATTAATAAAGTAAAGATGTTTTTTTTTTCTGTTTTACCTTCATGAAAAATTGGTACACCTGGATGAAACCTGCATGATGTTACTTGTTCTTGATCAACTGTAGTATATTCAACTCCACATGATGCATGTTTACATGGCGTACCCGGTTTAATGTCATCATTAATTTGGTCTTCTTTATTCGTATCAACTTTTGCAGTATTAGTTAATTTTTCTAGTGCTGTTTTTAAACTTGATGCTACTGTTAATTTCATCTTTATTAATGGAGCATCCATTGGTGGTCGTTCAACAATAGGTACTTGTGGTTTTGGAATTTCTTGACGACTAGTAGATTTAGGTACGGCTGCTTGTTCTTGTTCAGTTGGACCAGGAGCGACTGGTTCTTCAGGTTTAATTGGTTGATGAGGACCACGTGTACAACCTGGCATCGACAGAAATGCACTAAAATCATGAGATTTTTTTTGACAACATGACCATATTTTATAAGCATCATGAAAATATGGTAAACCAGGATGATATTGACAAGCATTATCATCTTTTGATGGATCCTTTGTTGGTGTATACTTTTTTTGACAACCACGATTATAGCAAAAATGAGACATGTTTTCTTTTTTATCTGAAATAAACAAAGAAAAAGAAACTATAGTAGCATTCATTGATGGCGTTATTTTTACATCATTTTACCATTGAATGAATACATAGGAAGAATGAATGAATCAATGTGTTGCTTCATTGGAAGAAACGTGAAGAAAAGACTAGAAGACTCGCTGATGTCATAAGATGTCACTATTATCCAGAAAAATAAATCACTAATAAAAAACTATAGCATATGGCATTTGAGTTCAGTACACAGTGCGATAAGATGTGAAACTTTTCGAATTTCGATTTTTAACATTGTACAAATAACAAAATTGCTATGATTGTTATGAATAAACACGCACATAAGTTCAATTGGTTCATATTGAGGAATTACTGAGAAACTATGTCATGTTTCACAAAGCGTTTTATTTGAATATAATGAAAATCAATATTTAGTGTTCTTTGTACAAATCTTTGATAAAGAAAGAACTTTGATTTTTCCATGCTTGGTTTTTTTTTTGTCTTGGACAACCATAACAAACCTCATTACTAGTAGTCCCATAGGAGTTCTGTTATCTAGCAAAAAAGATATCAATAATCAGACTATATGTACCGTTCTTGAGATCTTCGCATTAACAAAAGATGAACTTTGGACATGGAATTCGAGAAAGATAACTAAAAAAAATAAGATGAAAAAAACGATTGAACTTATTTCTATAAATGACAAGCAAAACTATGGAAATATGAAATTAGTTTTGTTTATTGTAGCGGGTGATCAAAAAGTAATTACATAAAATGTTCCTACATATTTCAGTCTTTTAAGAAGCCTGTAGAAATTTACATTATGAGCCGATACTTTAGAGGATCATAAATTAAACTTGGACGAACTTTAGCGCACCAAAAATTACCAAAGTAGAAATAAAACTTATTTCACATACAACGAATAAATGAGTAAACATTTCTCAATAAAATAGTAGATTAGTGTTCGACCTTTGCAGATAACAACTTTGCCTTTAATTTTATGCAAAAAAGAAAATCGGTAAGATAGCGTATGCAATAAAGAAGACTATAGCAGTAACAAATGTCGATTTTTTTCTCTGTCCAATCTTAATTTACGGGATTTCTAACAGGTCGACTGATAATTCCTAAACTAGAAGTCCTACAAACCCAATACGTATAGAATGTATATACATTTCCTAATTATCAAAATTTACAATACAAAAAACAAAAAAGAAACGAGATAAGTTATTGCATGATTATTTATTTCTCAGTTACATGAAAAGTTTCAGTTTATTAATTAATACATTGGACGCATGGACTTGATATATCATTTGTAGCACGAAAATAATCTTCGCTACATACACAACCTTCTGAACAACGTAAAGTTTCACAAGGTTCTCGATTCGGTTCTTCACATGATAGTTGACACGGATTCGTACAATTGCTATATTCTTCATTTTCACTACATATTGGAGTTTCTATCACGTTTCCTTTACGAAAAAATGATACTTAATTAAAATACGTACGTAAGAAAAACAAAGTAAAACTACTTTACCTTCTTTACATTGTATTTTTAAGATACATGTTAAATTCTTCTTCGGATCACGAATAAAACCATTCTTACATACGCATGGGTTTCTGCTGCACATACGAGGACATAAAGTTCCTTTAGGATTATCACATGATGGTTGACATGTCTGAAGTAGTGCACAAGTAACAGCTACTTCATTTGTACCACATCTCGTTGGAAATCTAATGGTATCTAATAACAGAAAGAAAAAACAAGAGTACATTTATATTGAATTAAATAATTGACTTACTTGTATTGCAGTGTGTTTGTTCAATACATTGTAAATCATTCTGATCGTCTCGTACAAAACCATTCCTACATATACATTGATTTAGAGCACAAACACGTGGACATACCAATCCATGAAGATTGCTACAAGATGGTTGACACGATAGTAATGGAGCACAATCAAGTTTGATTTCATTAGGACCACAATCTTGTGCAGTTATCACTAAACAATGAGTATATTATCTAATAACTCTAAAAAGACACTGCTTACATGGAATGGGACCGATTGTAAGAAGTACTATCAAAACAAAAATTAATATTGTTGACAATGAATTCATTATGAAAAATACTTTCGAAAATTTATATCGTAATTTATTCGGTTATATGAGTGTGAGCAAGTGTTTAAATAACGTCGTTCAAGGAGAACGGAATGTCAAAAGTAGAGACATTGTATATGTAAGTTGTAATTACAATAAACATGTATAGTGAGAATATATTGTATTCACCTCGTTTAATATAGTTCTCTACGCAATATATCGAGTCAATATACTGTATAAATATGTAAAAGCATGAAAGAAAATATTCAATATCAATTTGCAAATTGTGATTGTATACTTAAAATAGAAAAAAAGTTAGACAAAGACAAAAGTAGAAAAATATTTTTTAATAATTCCAGCTAAATGGTCTGCAAATGTCATCAAATACGAAACAAACTTTGCATTGACTAAATAAATCAAAAATAAGTATTTCAGAGTTTTCTTTTAAATATATTCTACAAATAAACACAGAGACAAACCTTAATGAGAAGGATTTATTGTGAAAGTTTCAAGTCTTTTGACTTGTTCCTATCCTGAAAAAAGGACATAAAATCTGCCGGTGTACATGAGCCATGTAAAACACACGCTGCTATTATAGCTGTATCTTACAATAGAAAAAATAAAAAGTCTGATACTTCCACAAGAAACAACTCTCATTGAGGTCTGTCTCAGTGCAACCTTTCAAGTCGAAATTCTAAGACTCATTTTCGTACNTGCAGTAGTAATCGTAGCACGTAGGGACGGCTTACCTGCTTCTGTTGTAAAAGCGTTCATGTAGATGCTCCTAGATTTGCCTGACATTGAGTCGAAAATGTTAAATAGAAGGTTATTGGTCATGTCTTATATGAATCTATTAATGATGTTCTGTGAGGTAATACCAGAGGGAAAGGAAGATGGAGCTTCATTTGGCTTTAGTTTTTATTTGCTGAAATCAGTTCACTTGCATCATAAGGAGTTCTGTCTTACTCATCCCTGAAATTATTTTAACTATGTGTTTGTTGTTTATGGTGATACAGACATTTGTCATAGACAATATAGTATAGTGTGCATTGCAGTTGCAATGGTTTATGAGGTAAGAAACGGATTGATCAATCAGAGTTTTCGTTGCTACCATAGTTGTCATTTGTGGTGTTAACCAACCGAAACGGCGATAGATTCTCGCTTGCTTCGTCAGAAAACGGGATGCTGTCATCGATAGCGTCCAACAGCTTGACGCCAGCAAGTGGATTAACTGATGATGTTGAAACAACACTTCTTTCGATACCCAAATGCCAGAGAAGTGCTCTCTCATGAGAACACATACTGATTTCTCGAGTACCAGCAATGCAGGTACAATACCAGCCTTTTGTAGCTGGTACATGTTCCTCATTAAACTGCACCGTAGGCACATGTCGTTTCTGATTTGAGTGACGCGACTGAAATCGCGCGCTAACCAAATCGTTTTACACTCGGCAAAGCTCTACAACAAATTCCGTTTGGTGTAATCGTTGATGAAGGATTGGCTAAGATGCTCAACAATGTTACACTTAGCCACTGTGACTTCATATGATCCTACTCAAGAAGAACATGCTGTGTTAATGACAGAAATTCACTTTTAGTTGATATTCGGTTCCCACTGCCATTTTTCTCAGTGCTGCGAACCAGCACATGGCAACATCGTACTTCGACGAATGCAACTTTGTGTCTTCATCATATTGTTTGAGTCTGATTTTTAGAGCATTTTCTTCTTTTCACATTTTGGGTATCTTCACAACTATCACTTTTCCCATTTGAATGCCTTGTATCGCACGGCAGTCAAAATTGTGGTTGTAGTGTGATTGTGCCTGTGGGTGTCGACGGTGGCTATGAGCGTGGGTCGATGCCTGCTTATAATGAACACTCACAACTGTACGCACACCTTCAAGAATATTCACAGTTGCATCATTTTGTAGCTCGTGAAAAATGCTATCGAATGAGCTATAATAGAAGTTGGCTTCTCCAAACTTTAAGAGAAATCATAAGTCACCTATCTTACAGTGTATCTAAAATTGGCATGGTTTCAACAGTATGGTCTGTAACTTTTTTTTGGCCCACCTTCAGGAATATTGAAAGTTGTATGATTTTGTAGCTCGTGAAAAATGCTATCGAATGAGTCGTAGTAGAAGTTGGCTCCTCCAAACTTTAAGAGAAATCATAAGTCACCTATCTTACAGTGTATCTAAAATTGGCATGGTTTGAGCAGTATGGTCTGTGACTTTTTTTTTGGCCCACCTTCAGAAATATTGAAAGTTATATGATTTTGTAGCCCGTAAAAAATGCTATCGAATGAGTCGTAGTAGAAGTTGGCTCCTCCGAACTATAAGAGAAATCATAAGTCACCTATCTTACAGTGTATCTAAAATTGGCATGGTTTCAACAGTATGGTCTGTAACTTTTTTTTTGGCCCACCTTCAGGAATATTGAAAGTTGTATGATTTTGTAGCTCGTGAAAAATGCTATCGAATGAGTCGTAGTAGAAGTTGGCTCCTCCAAACTTTAAGAGAAATGATAAGTCACCTATCTTACAGTGTATGTAAAATTGGCATGGTTTGAGCAGTATGGCCTGTAACTTTTTTTTTGGCCCACCTTCAGAAATATTGAAAGTTATATGATTTTGTAGCCCGTAAAAAATGCTATCGAATGAGCTATAATAGAAGTTGGCTCCTCCGAACTTTAAGAGAAATCATAAGTCACCTATCTTACAGTGTATTTAAAATTGGCATAGTTTCAACAGTATGGTCTGTAACTTTTTTTTTGGTCCACCTTCAGGAATATTGAAAATTATATGATTTTGTAGCCCGTGAAAAATGCTATCGAATGGGCTATAATAAAAGTTGGCTGCTCCTGACTTTATAGATGAAAGGTTGATCGCAAAGAATCGTTCTAATGATGAATGTATGGGTGTGGAAATCCTCAAATATACTGGAAGGATAGATCGAATCGAGTATCAAAGTATTCGTCGTGAAAAGTTCTTCCATCCTATGTATGATTGTGATGAGTTCTGTTTGAAAAGTGCTATGGGCCAAATCACGTTCTTATGCGCCCCTGTCCTTTCCAAGCAAGTTGTGTATGTGGCGAAGTATTTGACAATAATTGTGCACATTTTTTGTCAAATTGGATGATTAAGAATGGTGTGATGAGCGCATTGGACAAAAAGGTATATGTTACCTGTGACAAAAGGACAACCAAAACGTGCAGCTACTATGAAATATATTTTTACAAATGTTATGAAACTCAAACTTCATACTACTGCGCCTGCAGATGGCAGCGACTGTTACATTTATTGTCAAAGAAATAAAGATAGTCAAGGGCATGTTTATTATGGTACTCATGATAGAGCTACTGCTGGATCGACTTGGGATGGCGCTGATACGTATGAATATTATTATTAATATATAACAAAAAAAAACAAGAAGGACTGGCGTGACACTTTTCTTATTTTTTTAAAATTTAAGCCAGAATTTTTAACTAGCTTGCTTTTTGAACATCAAAATATCTTCTAAATTTTAATCATGAATAAATTAACTTTCACTATTTTGATTTTCATATCGAAAGTAACCACGATAAAGAGTTTTTAGGGCTGAATGAAAACATAAAAGAAGCGATTCTCTTAAGATTTTTGAGCATTGAGTAAATGAAGTTTCAAGGAGATGTTTGATGGCAGTATTATCACTCAACGAAGTTCAATTATGTTACATTCTCTGCAATCGTGAATTTTTTTTGTTTCGAACATAGTGCGGGTGTGGGTGTGGGTTGGGTGTGAGTGTGGATGTGCGGGTGCGAATGCGGATGCGATTGAAGAGAGTGGTAAAACCTACACCCACACTCACACCTACCCATACCCGCGCCCATACGCAAAGTGATCTATCACGTACAAAAAATCAATATAGAGTGTATTTTTCTGTAGTAGAATCAAAGTGAAGTTACGTCAACGTGTCCTTTTCAACTGAACATGGAATCGAATCGAATTGAAACGAACGTATCAAACATAGAGTACACTTCTTCACTCAGGCTTCCATTTCAAAAAAGGTGATTACTCAATATAGCTGTAATAGAGACATTCTGATTCTCGTCGTCATAGACGACATTGGGGGAATGTAGCTGTTTGGGCGTATCACTCAGTAGGTCTTAAGAGTGCGAGTGCGGGTCTTCTTTGGATCTCCATTCACAGTCACACCCAAACCTAACCTTGGTACTCGAGTTCAATGTCGTGAAATGAAAAATAGGAAAAACTTCAATGCCACTTTGATGAAGAAAACGACATTTCCATCTTAAACGTGTTGATCATCGATGAAATTTATGATTTATAGATTTATTTTTATTAATACTCAGCCAATCAATCAAATTTCTTTCGACAACTTATCGAAACAGTTTTTTTTTGAATTAAGAAAAAAAACTGTCTTAGTTTCATTATTAAAGTGAGCGATAGCTTTCATTTGTCAATGATGAGTCGTCAAATTTCGACAAACTGAATTGATATAACCCGGTCCAGGTAATGGAAAGCAAACTTGTGGATAATGTCGACAACAATCAGCATTACATGTGCCATCTATATCACATGATGCGACAATGAAAGCACGTTGTTTTACAGGTGTGCAACGATCTCCACGACAACAGGTGCAGGTACAACGACCGGAACTATTCACACATTGAAGCGTCACGAAGAAGATCAACGTAATGATGATTAGCAAGCGCATTGTTAACTCGTAAATTTGAAATGTAACAAATAGTCTGACAACTTTTGATATATTTGTGTTTCGCGAAGCTAAAAAATGATATGCGTATGAGTGTATATATTGTGATAAAAATGTATATCTCTATTTATTCAGATATGTTATGCATGTTTTATAATTTGATAACAGAATCAAAACAATCTTGTGTGAATATATAGACAGTGATTCAACACTTCATATCCGATGTGAAAATTGTGGACCAACCAACACGTTATATGTTGAGAATAATTAATGTACGTGATTAAAAACTAAATTAATATATAAAACACGTATTTTCTTCAACCATGGCATGCCCACGTGGAATCCACTTGGACACCAACTTATTTCAATTTTATGTTATATGCACACAGTGTCACATCAAATTACGGCTCTCTAGATATGCGTATCGTATGCCGCTGACATCAGTTGGTCGTCATCACTAGTTGCTTATGTGACGAATTATCTCGATGTACATGTGAGCGCTTGTTGTCCACCTAGAGTCTAGTCGAACCTCCAGTGAAATTCTTTTTAATGCTTTATAATTGTAGTCTTAGATAGGATCTTTTTCTTCCAGCCTGATGCTGTAAACAAAGAGTGTTATTTCAGTGAAGATAGGTTTCCAGCTACGTTACATTGTGCCAAAATTTCAGTTCTAGTGAGGAAAGAAGTCATGCTGAAATGTGTGAACCGTTCTGATAAGATATTTTCTTGGCAATAAGGAAGCTTCGGCACAGTGCAACGTACGTAGAAACATTTCATTTTTGAAAACTTTGCTTTGTGACATGACAATCATCGTCGAAACAAAAATTTCCTCAGACTACATGTGAATGTTTTATATGCAATACACAATCTCAAGCATTTTGAAAATATCGGATGAGAAAAAAGTAAAAAAACATTTCATGAATGCAATTGAAATTAACTGTAGTCCTGTTTATTCTTGTTAGACTCAAATATCTTCAGAGTCATAATAATTTTGTTACAAAATAATGATAATGTAATATATTGTTTCTATTTTATCAGACTGAAGTTTGTAATATGAAATTCGTACCAAATTCAACTGGTCAACGCATGATAGTCCGAATTGTGAACGTATCAGGAACAACTAATTGATACAATCTCGGTTTTATATTCAAATCATATAAAACAAAACATAATGTCACAACAATCCTTTAAATTATTTTTGGATAGTTTAAGCTAATATACCTTGTATTAGATAAATATTTTCAGATCATTATTAAAATGTCATCTATTATGTTTTCTGAATAACTCGGAAATAGTTTTACTGATTAATTTCAGTTCATTATCATTTACTGTTATAAGGCGAGAATAAGAATAAAGTATGTACGATTTATTCTGACCATATGTTGACTTTATTGAAATTAATATTTGCATAGGAAAGCAACGAATGATGATGAAGGGATCAATGAATTCAGTTGACCCATACTCTTGCATTGCCAAGATTTTATTTTTCTATATGAGCTCTACTCAGTAAAATATTTTATTACATGTTTGAACAAAAGCCATACATGAAAATTTCTTTTATTTAGAGCAAAATGAACTTTTATAAACAACGATTCGAATCAAGCGAACAACCATATAGTTCATTAGACCTCAATTGAATGACAAATCACTTGTGAAGTCCTTTTTATTTGTCCTTCCTCGACAGAGATGAACATCAAAATGTTATGTAATTGAAACAAAGTTTTCCATATGAACAAAATTACGTCTCATCCTTTGTCTCCTACGTCTTGCATTTCCCTCATTGTGATTCATAATATCAATCTTCATTTATCATATTGGAAGTGATCTTATTTATAAACTTACAAATCATTTGAAGATTTGTCTCGAAAAATTAACCTAATTAACAGCAAGTACGACATAGTTACTAACTTTATGCTTTTAACTTTTGGTTTTTATCTTAAGTAAATTTCAATAGAGCTGAAAAAAACAGATCACACTCGTAACTCTTCCTTTGCAAAATATAATCATCATTTTTGCTCAAAACAAATAAGTTTTTGTCACTTCGAATTTCAATGCATGTCTTCGCTTTACGTTGCTTGTAAACGCAAATAAGCGAAGAAAATATCTTACTAATGAATGATTAGAAAAAAATATCGATCTTACGCATCTTCAACGAATTGTTAAAAGCCTTTCAAGGAATCCTCTATATCAAGAACTATTTCTTTATATTGTTAGACTTCATATAAAACCTATTGACAAGTAAAAGCACCTATAAAGAAAAACAACTCAATGCAAAATATAGCACTAGAAATATTCGTTGAAATATGATGAATTTATACAATAAATACAAAACAGAGAAATACAAGAGATTTCTAATTACACGAGTATTATTTTTTTTCTTTCTAATTCGTTTTAAATCTCATATATAACGAATGATTAATCTTTATGACAAAAAAGAAAAAATACCCGACATAATTTTCAGCACAGAACACATTAAAATTCAGAACCCCTTAGTCTAGCTAATGATTTCTTTTGTTTTAAAGAAACATCAATTGAAGCATTTAATATTTGATATTTTTATGCGAATTTTCAAGATCACTATGATGCTAAAACAAGATAATGTATAAATAAACGATTGACCAGTGTTTAACTCCAAAAGCAAATCATTTTCTTGCATCAATATTGTTTTGTTTGTTCAAAAGAAAATCAATACGAAATCTTGTTTATGATAAATCGAAATTTTTGGTTCATTTTGATTGAACAAAAAATTAAAACAATAATGCGAATTCAAGCGAATCAAAATAATCTTTTGACAATAAGAATTCAATTCCTTCAAAAATAAGATTAAATCAAAACGATAAGTTTACAGAGAAGTTTTTCTATCGAGATGATAAATAAGTACAAAGTTTATCAGCTAAAACTGGTTAATCATTCTTTTTCTTTAACTTCAAAAGTCACAAGACTCAACAAGAACTAGAAGTCATATCATCAAACGATTAATACAAAGTTTGATTCACTCTAAGAATTTGTCCAAAATTGTTTAAACTCTCTCAGAAACCATATGAATTCATCATGTTTTGTTTATCTGACCTGCCAATTAACGTTTGATATTACTATTGGAAGTAGGGTCCTTGATTTGGTTTTGAAAAATTGCAGTTTTAAGCCAATCCTAACACTCGAATATTCGGTTATACTTTCACGATTTTATTTAATTATTCAAAACCGCAATATCTCTCAGAAAAAAATGAGTATTCTTTTAGCCTTCACACAGAAGTATGTTATTTATTCGTAACAAAAAAGTGATGAGATGATATTCAGATAATTCATTATTTGAAGGAGAATTCAAAAAGGTCGTGGTGAGTGTAAATCACCTTGATCAATTGCAATAACTGGCGTTGCATGATGCCATCCTCCAGTGACTTGTTGGGAAGTCACATACGACATATACGCCACTCCATCTCGCTGATGAGCCCATTCAAGTATGCAGATCAGTTGTCGATGGCGTGGTGGAATACAATCAGAAGTGCGAAAAGTGTGACGAGAGTGAAAAATACTACCAGCTTGAGTTATTGTCATATTGAACGTGAGATAATGATTGATTAGTTGGTTTTCGACAACGATCAAGTTGGCATCAAAACGACGTGGCATGTTATATAAAACTGAAGAATGACTCTAAGAGATGAAGAAGAAATATGTATAAATGAGGCAGAAAGATTACAGAGCAAACCTTTTTCGGTTTGTTACAAAATTTGACCGTTGCAGCAATGAGACAATCTGCCAGCAATGTTGGTGGTTCGTTGAGTAACACACCATCAAGTCGAATACTTGAATGAATGACTAGAGTATAGTATCTTGTTCTTTCATCCTTTGTATCGTTATTCTCTTTCCAAAAGCTAACTGAGAATGGAATAATAACATAAGCACCGGGCCGCAAAGATCCACTCCAATAGGTAAATGTTCCACGACGGCTTTCAAAAATCACTTCTGTTGTACCAACATTGCTTGTTTCTTCTTCTACATTACAGAGGACGAAAGATTGCGTATGCCGACGATTTTCCTTCCGACTAAGACAATGATACACGAGACTCACAGTGATTAATGATGTCCTATGGGATAGTCGAAATTGATAAGTGTAAACAAAAAAAAAGAACTAATTCACTTACTTTGACACAGTAAAATAATAGGCGGGAACTGATTCTATTGGCGATCGGGTAAATTGAGCTGCTTCACGAATATCAAAATGATTGCTGACATATGTGGAGATAGTTATTGAATCAAAATAATGCAAGAAACTTAACCATGTTATCCAGAAAATTCCGGAGGAATTCGACATTTCGTCATGAATCGAACGTAAATATGTACGAATGGATGGTGTGATAGAATCTTCTGAATAATTTGTTGTTCCATGTGGATCACGCACAAGTAGAAAACGACCATCACCGACTGGCAATGCCTTAGCTACCAAGACAGTAAATGCGTGATTCGGATTCAGTCCAGCGAGCTCGTACTCGTGTCGATTGGTTTCTAAACAACCGGTTGATGCACCAATTAAGAGTCTAGAAATTAACAACGCTATTTAAACGTAGCAGTTATGCTTAATAGGCATCCTCTAGACAATTTAGTTTTTATTGCTTTGTGAATAATGAATTAAGATCATATGTGATTTTTCTTTCTCTATATTGCTTTCGATAAGCCTTATCATCTACCCATTACATATTGCAGTCAACATTTTGCAGTGAGCATGTCACGTCAATGGTGAAGTTCCTTGACAACGAAGTGAGTGTTGTAGCAAACTTATAGATCTTTAATTCATACTGATTCGATATCGTCTATTCGTGCCTCTTCTCAGTGAGATTTGATCAATGAACTTACTAAAAAATGATGTTTCTCACTTACTTTGATTCGCAAGCTGATAGGAGCTTAGCCCAAATAATATCAAAATCTAACATCTCATTTAATGGGTGGAGATTGATGCGATCACAGGGCGCTCCTGTTAATAGCTGAAGACCTTCAGCTGTAGAGCCTCCTGCCAAGTTTGCATACGAGCCGAAAAGTTTTGCACACGCTTTTTCAATCAACGGAACATACAATTGACGACGTGCAGCTCGACTATAAGCTAGTCTGTTATCTATTGTACACGGGAAATTTCCGTCGAGAAGCACAGCTTTCCATAGACCATTGTGACAAATACGTACAACATAGACTCCTTCCCGATTCACATTTTTCGTCAGAAGAATATGTCGAAGCATTTGAGGTCGTTCAGTGATCAGTGCCAAGGCAGCCATCAGCCAACAATCACCGAGTTTACCTTGATGAATATCGTGAGGTTCTGGGGAACTATAGATTGTCCACGGTAGATGACCATCAAGATGTGTCGACGGTGCTATTTCGGCAAGTGGTAACCATTGTGTCATGTGATCCGTATGCAATGTACCCAAGGAACGAGTAGAAGGTGAAAATTGATCATCCACGAAAGTAATTTTATTCTTCAATCATTCATAGGACAATTAGTGCATCTAGTTCATGTTTCTACATACCTGTTGACAAAATAAGATTACATCACGAGCTATTTTTTCTGCATTTGATTCATCCATATCCTGACGATCGCGAACAGAAACCGACTTTGGTCTCATGGTGGACATTATTCTTGTATTGACCGAATGGAATTCTCGTTTATTCTAGACAAGAAAATGAATGGTTGAGTCTAAGAGGATTTTCTTGCCTGAATAGGCCTTTACCGATTTGATTCGTTTTTTGCTACAAGTAGCACACTGTTGACGAGCAGCTTCATTGTCGGAAGAGCATAAATCACAACGCCAGTATGCTGATGATGGAACTTTTGACTGAGGCGTGATAAAGTTTGAATCTTTTTCGGCACACACAACACATATAGGATAGACAGAGTTAGGATTGTCGGTAGAGCATTGCGAGCATGTCCATTTTTGTTTAACTTTAGGAAATGGCTTGTGCAAAGGAACTTGAGATACAGTTGTGCCCATGCTCAGATCTGAAACTGTTATATAACGGTCTTTGTTTTAGCTAGCAAGGCAAATCGGTATATGCTAAAGAACACCCAATCGAAGAAGGTGCACATGAATTTTGATAATTGCGATAATGAGATGGAGTTTTTAGACGAGATTTTTCGCAGTGATTTACTTTGAATGCTTGCAGATCGATTATGAAAATCTTACGTAGTATCAAACAAAAAGTCTCTTCTATACAAAACTTCTAGCATTTCTCTTCGCTCACTAGTTTATTATACTTTGAAGCAAGATCTGTTTCAAAAGGTTCATTTTCTTTGTTCAGTATTCTATAAGATCATCCTTAAATTAAAATTTCATGCTTAATCATTCATAGAAGTCATATACCTGCTTGTAATTTTGTTGTTTACTAGTTTCCGACGTTTGATGTTATTGTATTGAAAAAAAATTTTATGGCGTGTCTCACGTGCACAGCAACGATTAATCTTCTGTCGTAAGAATGAAAAAATTGAAATGCATTGACCGCTTGTGAAATGACGTAGACATGAAATGAGAAAAGAAAAAAAATCAAATCATGACGAGTAATTTTGTTGTTGTCTTTGTGTGCTTAACTGGCAGTTGTTTTTTTTTTTGGTATTTGTCAATTGTTGGCGAAACGGAATTCTTCATGGTGTTTATTATTAAATCACGATTTTTTTAGGTAACTTTTTACTAAAAATTGAACGATGCAGATTTTGAAATATTTCTCGACAGCCTAGACAACAAGTTGGATGGTCACCTAACGCTCTCTTTCAAAGATCAAGAACAATTGAATGAAACAGATTATATTTTATTGAAACTGAATGACGTTAAGCTAACTGTTATGGCCTGTGGCAATTCGGTATTTCGATCTTCGAATAAAAATATATTCGTCTTATTTTAATCATTTTGTGCAAATCCGTTTCTTATACAAAATGATTTTAAAAAATTATAAACGTTTCTATCTAAGAGTCTTTGCACAAAGCAGACGATTAAAAAGTAGGCTAGGTTTTTAAAGGGGCATTTATGAAACTGAATGTCAGATGGATGACACGATCATATAAGCGTTTTTTAAATATTTTTTCTGTGAACAAAATCAGAAAATAACATGAAGAAGTCGATTAATTGACTCTCATTTTTGTGCATCTCATCTAAACTCGCCACTAGCGAAACTTCACCGGTATATCAAATATTGATCATTATGAAAACTATTTCATCAGTTCTAACTCTATTTTAGTTTTTTCGTATCTTTTCGCAATATTCAATGGTAGACCTGCGGTAAAGTACGAATTCATGTCATTTGCTTAGCTTTGATGTAAACCTAAGTTAGTTTAATTTGTATTTGCACGATAGCTTAGATTCTATTGTTCAAAATGATACATTTCTACAAGTGTATCTTACATTCAACTACAATATTCGATTGGATCATACTTCTAGGACTCAATAAGACGCATCTTTTTGATGTTTTCTTCTCGACTATCCTCTACCACATTATGGACTTAAGTGGCAACACCGTAAGAAGTACTTTAAACTTCAATATCTCGAATTCATTAGACTTTTCAGATAAATTTCAGTAGTATTTTACATGGGGCATTACAAAAGTTTTTTCACCCGGCTCTTCTAAAAGCCTCAGTTTGAGTTCAGGTATGCTGTTATAATGCTTAGACATATTTAGGATTATGTATAAAGTTTCAGACTTATAAGTTTTGTTCTTTGCTGTGGTCCGTCATTTCTTTTATACTAGGTGCATGCAACCTGCTAATGGATGATCCATCATAAATAGGAGAACTTTGCATTTCATTTTTCGATTCATAAATAAGTTTTATTAAAAGAACAAATATACCAGAAGATGCAGCGTGAAAAGCTCCACAATTTACATAAGATAGCTTTTTTACAGCTGTACTTATTTATTTAGAAAACCGACAAAATTATGAATGATCAAATGCTGACGTTGCAAAAAGGTGATTTTTTTCGTATGCGACGAACGCATTTTTTTTCTTATTTATTACCTAATACGTTTCATTTCAAAAAGATAAAACAGACCACAAGATGCAGCATGAAAAACTCTACAATTTGCAAACAACAGTTTTATTTTAATTGTTTTCTTTTTTATTTTGAAAATAAAAGCAAAATTCTCTGAACTACTTTTCACGGCGTCAAGAATTGGTGGCTCAAAATGCTGCTTATTTTGAAACAAGAAGTACACAATTAACATAAGCGTTGCACTGCAGATTGTAGAGCTTTTCACGCTGCATCTTCTGTTTCTTTTTAATAAAATCTTTTTGGGGATTAAAATATGAAATGCAAAGTTCTGTCATTTATTATAAGTCACCCTTTATGTAGCGTATAGAAAAAGGCAATGATACTAACGTAAAAGAAATGATGGACAATAGCAAAGAATAAGACTTACAAGTCTGAAATTTTGTACACAATTCTAAATATGTCTAAGCATTATAACAGAATACTTGAACTCAAACTGAGGCTTTTAGAAGAGCCGGGTGAAAAAACTTTTGTAGTGCCACATGTAATGACAGATCTTACTGGAACATACATGAGTTTTCGAAGATCCGAAAATGGAGGTAGAATCTCACACAAGTCTTCTCGGAATACCACAGCTAATTTTCTGCTGATCTCGAAACTTGAATACTATAGAATATTTATTGAAAACTAACTGTCGGATCCGTTAATGGTTTCGTCATCTCGATTGCCATCAGTAATTCGATCGGACTTAAAATGAAAATGATTTGCTAAATGAATCTGATATTTTTCTAATATGAGCATTACAATTTGCATTGCAAATGTATAATTAGATGCACATATGATTTTTCTTGTCAAAGTCTGATTGATCTATGCAGGAAGTGTATTGTTATTGTCGAACAACAACGATAATTATCTCATGAAGGTTTTCTGAACTGCCATATCAATGTCGTCTTTTGATACTCTTCAGGAATGTTTCCATAACATTATTCATTTACATCTTTTGTTCTGTTGAAGCAATATATTATCGTCGTGAATAATGCAGTCATCATTGAAGATTGGTTTGTATGTATCGCTCCCACTTAGTGATATTTCTCTGAGTTTTTTTCCTTTTCAAAGTACCATTTGTGATTGTGCTAGAATAAGTTTTATGCTTCTGAAGCAAGTGTACAATAATCAGTTTACAGTCTGGTTATATTGAAGTAGTGTAGACAGGTAAAGTAAGAGGTAATTTATTTTTGTCGTTTATTTTCTATTTATTTGGAGACTGATAAAATTAAACTTATTCACTAAAGACGCATACTTTGTACTTTACTGTGATTTTCGTAAGGACTACCGGGACGTCATTTCTACATATTAGACCCAGTTACGACAAAGCATTTTAACGATCAATGATCCTTTGTTAGAACTTCTTTGACAAAAATTTCGCTAAAACATACTGAACTTTGTTAGGGTTATAACGTAATTTATGGCTTGCAAGATACTGTTCTCTCCGAACGGAGTTTTGAAATAATAAATGAATAGCTTTTGTTTGCAAATCAATCCTCACGTTTGACAAATATTTCAAACGAATAGCAATAAACTTCACTTATACAAACCGAGAAATCAAATATAGAAACCTCTTCGTGCAAACGTTGCATCAGACTTAATGCTTTAAAATTATTAAAAAAGAACTATATTGTCATTTAATGAGATGCTTGGAAGAAGTCTGAAGTGTGCATCTCATCATCTAAATCATTGATAGACTATTTTTTGAGAAATCATATGTTACTAGAAAGCTCTTAAGTGAACCGAATTTCACACATTAGTCTCCCATTCATGACTTGCCGTGTTCCGATATGAACTTTGAAGTTTCACAACAGTGAATGAAGGAAATACCGATAGTTTGTCAAGAAACTGATGTTTCGACTTCCACCTACTAGTAAATTTTGTAATGAAATGATGAAAATAATTTTTTCAAATACACGCCGATGTTTTCACGCACTATTCCATTTGAGCAACCACGATAAAGAGTTTGAATCAAATCATGATCAACGGTGATTTTTTCGCAGTGATTGTGATTTCTTCTTACTGTATCGCAATGTTATAAAAGTGATCGCAATTTACTGATGTTTAATACACCTTGTATACAGCTCACCATGTGTACTCAAACTAGATTGCACTTTCAAAAAAGTTCAATATGATAGAAATGAGTCGCATAATTTAAAATCGCAACTTTTGATGGTTCTATATGCTACAAATTAAATTCGTTCTCATCAACTGCAACCTCTGAATACTGTTCAACGGCAAGATTAGCTAAACAGTAGTAATCACAATTCATACCTGACTATTTCGACACAATGCTTTCCTATAATCTAGCATATTGCTTTTTACAAGTAAGATTGAGCTTCGATTAAAAAAAGGGATTTTTTTCAAGACAAAAAACTTTCTACTTAAAA